GATCTTGTTATTATTGGAGCTGCTTGTGCAGATGCAATATACATTTTGTCAACTGGACCATTTGATCTCAAAGCTTGAGGCTGTGTCAGTGGTTTAGATGAACTTGTACATTGTTCAGGCAAAACTGGATACATTGGGTTGTAAGGAGGAGGCGTTACAGTGGTTGCAGATTTCACTGGTGCTTGTGAATATCTCTTTTCAGCTTCAGTTATTATATTTGTCCAATCTGGATCAAATGAATTATCATTGGTTGTGTTTTCTTTATCTGAACAGTTAATAGACATAATTTTGTTCAATTTGTGAAATGCTTCAATTTGAGGCTTCATTGCTTCAAAAAGTGGGGCTGGACATCCATCAATGCCACAGAAGATTCCACCTTGTTTCACAATCCAATGAGCTGCCAGTATTGGAAATGCTTTTGACTTGATGGAGTCTTTTTGCGAATCAAACCAGCTTAGCTGCACATCCAAAGATGCATTAACATCCAGTCCTTTTTTCAAAAGCTTAGCTTGCTTTTTCTGTTTTCTTTTTAAATACCAATCAGCAATTGTTCGGCTGTTAAGACCACTTTCTGCCATTGCAAATTATTTGTCACTCTGTGACTGTGCACTCAAACAGCAGGGATATTTTGGGAGTGAGTGAGTGTGTGTGTGTGTGTGTATATCTCTACTGTGCGTGAATTCCAAGGGGGGGGTCCCTCTGCTTCTCCCTCTCTCTCTGCTTCTCTCCTTCTCTCCCTTTCGCCTTCTCTTATAACTCAAAGAACAAAGAAGGGGAAAGGAAAAAAAACAAAAAAACAAAACAAAGTTAACTCTAATAATTTGTTTTCTTTGTGTATTTGTTTGCTCTATTTTTTATTTTTAAATTTTATTTAGTTCATTTGAAGTTGCTCTCAGATCAACCTCTTCCTCTCAATACTGAACAGCTTATTGTCAAAATCGAAAAAACACACAATTCTAGCTCCTATTTCCATTGATACCCATCTTCTAAGGGCTCAATCAGCGTGTTTAAAATTTTAGGGCGCCTGTATTTCTAAATACGGAATCCTGTGCGTCCTATAGCACAGACCCGCCACTTTAAACCGCTATAAATCACCGCTTTGACACACTATCCTCGTTTTCTAAAACGATTCTTCGGTGTGTTGGAAATATTTTAGAGATTAATCTGCCATCAGTTTTTACAGTCTCGCCATATTTCAACCACCTTCCAGTCATGCCAAGCAAATTGCTAAATCGCTTTACTGCTATTCCAAATATTTGACTAAATGGTCTTTTTTCTAAAAAAGATCCACTTTTCCTAAAGTCTTTTCAAAAATGAAAAAGACTTCCCCAGCATCATTCAATATTTCAGAGGTTTACTGAACAGAGCAACTCAAATAAGCCACATCAAATTCAAACTATTTAAATTATTTTCCTTTTTCTGACACATATATTCATTGGCAAAACAACTGGTACTTTAAACAACACAGTTCTTTTAAGCAGTTTCAGTCAATGTCCAATCATCAGGCAGACTTCAAATTATTTTTTAGTATAGGAAAAAGTCTTACCTTGAGTGATTGAGACAAATGTCTGAATGCTATCCTGTTCGTGACGCCAAATGTAGACTTGGAATTAAAGCCTCTTGTGTTTCCCCGTTATTATTCAATTTACGGGACCGGACACCAGTTATCTTGCCAAGAACGTTTTATTATAAATTATATATGTCAGGAGAGAAACTTCAAGATGTTGTGTTCATGCCTGGTCTATGCGTTTCTCCATGTTCCTCTACCCTCTCACCCGGTCATGCCTACATGTTTCTCTGAGGGTGGTACAATGTGACATTGAGTTTTTATACATCACACAGTCTTACAGCTTCCTTGTAAGGTAACAAACATGTTGCTCTGAGCCTCTCAACTTAGAACCTAAATGTCATACGTGCGCTACTTTCCTTGTTGTGTACATCTGTGGTACACTTGCATCAGTGGAAACATTTATGCTGAGTGAACATGTTACATGGCACACATAACTCTCTGAGCAATATATAGCTTTCCCCTGACATATGTTCCTCATGCTTTTAACTCATGCTTTTTGAAACTCCAAAAGGATAATACAGTGATCATAAAACTAATAAAGAATAATAATACAGATACATAATATTTAATAATGAAATAATATTAAAAGATGAAATTTTAGTCTTCAGCCGCCATCTTGGCAACGCCTCCGGGCAGCTATTTTGGACTAACAAGACCAGGATCGTATCTAAATGAATGGGTAAAAACTCAGAACTGCACTTTGACTGGTCACCGGGACAGTGATATTTTAACAGTAATAAAATATGATAAAAATCGCTGAAAAAGTTTGATGACTTTGCCCCAAAATAAGGTTTAAAAAGCCCTTTTCCCCACAGGTGATACTTTTACTGCACATGCGCAAGAGTTCTCTCGATCGCTCTCTGTTATGCGCGCTCTTGCTCGCTCGCTCTAGATTGCGGGAGATTTGAAGTAATTTGCGGTCATCATGGAACAGCTATCAATCTGGGAACTTCCGGGAGACTTGGGATGTCTGATATTTACACAACTAACACATATCAAATCTGCCGCCTTTTCAAACAGTAACATATTTTCCGCATATTTTCAGTAACCTCAACTGTGCGTATGCGTCGGTGAAACCAGACGATAGTCTTAAATGTTTCCCTGCCTGACTGTTAAAAGAAGACGATTGGCTGTCCAGCGGGAGGGGCGGGACATGTGCATACAACCGCCATCTCTGCGTTCCGGGTTTTCCCTATATAGTTGTATTAAGGATTGAGGAAGTGGCATGTCTCTATATAAATAGTCTCTGTTATAGCTTATTAATCAAGTCAAGTCACCTTTATTTATATAACGCTTTTTACAATACAGATTGTATCAAAGCAGCTTCACAGTGATAACATGAAAAACACAGATTAATAATATTTTTGAACATTAAATGACCCCAACTAAGCAAGCCAAAAGCCAAGGCAACAGTGGCAAGGAAATAAAAGTCCATCAGGTGACTGAATGGAGAAAAAAACCTTGGGGGAACCCATGCTCAGTCGGGGACCAGTTCTTCTCTGGCCAGTGAAGGAACAGTGTGTGATTCGAGCAGCATTACAAGTCAAATTGGATCGGAACAACAAATTAGGCACAAATGCTGTCTTTGTTTTATGATTTGTAAGAATTATAAATTTGGGATGGGTTCTTTTGTTGAATGGGTCAGGTTTTGCTGTATTAAATGTCCCCACAAACAGCAGGCTAAAATTTGAATTGAATTTCTCTTTATTGAACATGTTAAAAAAAAAAAACAAACACAACAGCAAAAACTGAATAAAAGTAAAAAATAAATAGTTAATCATCAACATCAAGAAAAAAAGATCATCTACAGATGGTCCAAACAACAATCATGTTCAAAGGGGGTAGGAAGAAGTTAGAATAACTTTTCTTGTCCTATCCCCACTTCAATAATATTTTAACTACTTAAACTAACTTATCTAAGGTTTACTTTACCTAAGGTTGAAAAAAGAAAATCACTATTCCAGCTCATATCCATCAAGGATTCTTTTTTTAAACATATATTTCAATTGCAATAAGTTTTTACATAATTTTAAATCATTGTTGCTACTGTTCCACAGTATAACACCCTGGGTTGGTATACAGTGCAACTTAGTGTTTGTGCGAATCTGCGGTCTACTAAACATTGATATTCCTCTAAAATTATATGTGTTTTCTCGTAATTGGAAAAGCTCTTGGATATTTCTAGGTAATTGGTTGTTGTGAGCTCTAAAAACAATTTGAATAATTTTATAATCAATCAAATCTTTGAACTTTAATATTTTGAGTTTAATGAACAATGGGTTTGTTGGTTCTCTGTATGCAGTTTTATGTATGATTCGAATAGCCCTTTTTTGTAAGATGAAGATTGGGTGTGTATTTGTTTTGTAAGTATTCCCCCATACTTCCACACAATAAGTCATGTACGGGAGTATGAAGGAGCAGTACAACATATTTAGAGAAGCCTTATTCAATAAGTCTTTAGCCTTATTTAATATTGCCAATGACTTGGATATTTTGGTTTTAATATAGTTTATGTGAGGTTTCCAGCTTAATTTGTTATCAATAACTACCCCGAGGAATTTTATTTCAGATACTCGCTCTAGTTCTAAACCATTTATCATTAGTTTTTTATCCGTGTCAGTTGATCGGTTCCCAAATATTATAAATTTAGTTTTACTCAGATTTAATGTTAGTTTATTTTCATCAAACCAAATCTTCATCCTACTCACTTCCTTTTCCATGGTATCCAGTAGCTTCTCCAAATTTTCACCACAGCATAGTAAATTTGTGTCATCAGCAAAAAGAATGGTTTCTACAATTTGCGATACTTCACATATATTATTTATATAGAGGTTAAATAATAATGGCCCCAACACTGAACCCTGTGAGAAAATCATTCTACATGATGCATATCAAGTCTACATGATGTAACAGCTTCGTAAAGGAACTAAATAGTGTATTAATTTGCATTTAAATATTTATCAAATGTAATATTGTAGTGTTTATTATAAATGATTTATCTGTGCACTTTATTATTTTTTTAAATTTCATGTACCCTTAAAATCTTTAATCAAATTCATTACCCTTCCCTCCCCCATGGAAATGACCTCTCTTCTATTTCGGTCATGTGGAATGGCGAAAGGGTGCGGCCAGATTCGATGAGGGTGCGGCTATCGGTGCGCCACCTCTCAAAGAATCGCATTCAAATCTGCCTCCATTTTGTTTGCAACGCCCAACCTCCAACGATCCAATCAATTCCAGAAGGGCGAAATCAAGCCCCGCCCTTCATTTTTTTTTCTAATTTCAGAAGCCATTTCACTCGTACGTACGTCACGACAAGGAAAAAATGACAATCTCAACTTCCGTTTCACGCCGACTTTAAGAACAATAGAATTCCAGTAGGACTCATCATGATATAAAAATAAATGTGTTTGATATCTGTTTTAGGAGGCAGTGGTGCAGTATGAACAGTATGAACAGGAAGTCAGAAACCTGCAGGCCATGATTGAAGATGCTCACCGGGTCATTCAGGACCAACCTGTGAACACCAGCAACATCCAAGAGCTGCAGGCACAAATTAATCATCATGAGGTGCAGTGATATTTTAGTAGTATTTACACTATTATAGTATATTACTGTCATAGAGTTTATTCATATTTTAAATTAGATTTTTTTTTTTTTTTTTTAAGTTTCATTAATCATTTATGTTTTTGTCTTATAAAAAATATTCATTTCAGTTTTAGTTTTGGTCATTTTAGTACTTCAACCTACACAGATTTCTGTTTATTTCAGTCAAGGAAACATTTCTAATTTTTATTTAAATTTAGGTTTTTCATCTAATATTTCCAATTTATTTTATTTTAGCTTTATGTAAATTGCCAAAAAAATATTTTAATAGTTTTAGTTAACAATAGCACGTGTCACGTATATTCACCTCAGTGATGCCACACTAGCTATGTTTCCATCCACCTATTCTTATGCAAATTTTTGATCATAGTTTTAAAAAAAAAACCTGGATGGAAATGCCAAGATGTGCATAAATTCTAAAAATGCACATAAAAAATGTATGCGCCCAATTTAATCCGATAAGAAGATATGCACATAAACTTTGAAAGCAAGATAACATAACCGTATTTGTTGTTTCATCTGCGCTGAGGCGCAATTCAGTTATGATGAAAAAAGAAACATTGTTGCAACTTTCTTTTATATTAAAGATATTTTACGCCAATTTCCCAGGAAGTGAGGATTTAGTTCTCTTGAACACATGGAAACATTGCTTTATTATATATTTAAGTTTTGCATACAAGTTAAATTTGCGACTTTGGATGGAAACATACAGTAGCTACTGTCCTCAAATCTCATTTTTGTTGACTTCTGTTTGTGGTTGGCCATACTGATCCTTCTGGGTTCTTGCATTAACCTTATGGGCAGCTAAATAACATCTTTTGAAATCTCTTCTGTGTTTATTTTTATCTAAACAGGAACTGGCCCATAAAATTAAGGGCTACCAGGAGCAGATTGCATCTCTGAACTCCAAGTGTAAGATGTTGACGGTGAAAGCTAAACACGCCACCACTCTTCTGACAGTGAGTGATGCAGAGGGTTTAACCGAGAGTCTGGAGGAACTGGATGGTGATGCTATTAAAAGAAAGACCCAATCACAAGTCTCGGTACGTTAGTCTGAACGTGGGTGTGCCAGTGTAATCGTGGGATAAGCGAACTAACTAGAGTAGTAAATGTCTCAAAAAGTGATTGCTAATTGTTCTTGTATTCTAAATAATTGTGTGCACTACAAAAGCCATTTTTAATCATATGTCTTGTATTAAAAATATAGAATCATCCCAAGGTCAATTTACTTGATAAACAAATAACATAAGACATTAAGACTTTTAAGAGGAAATCTTTAATATCTTTAGTTTCTATTTTATATTTTAATTTAAAAAAATGTAGTCATTTTTAATGGTATAAAAAACTAATATATATATATATATATGTATATATATATATATATAAACATAAATGTCTTACCCTTTTAGCATTTCTTGTTTTCTTGCATTTCTAATCAGATTTAGACCTAAAACAAGAAGAAAAAAAAACATTCTGTAAATATATGTATAAAAATAATATATAAAAATATATTTATTAAATGTAAATTAAACTTATTTGAGATATTTTTGCATGAAAACCACTTAAGTACTGAGAAAAAAAAAGCAAAATAAGAGATCAAAAACAGACCCTCTCGACTGAACGGTCTTTATTTCCTCATCTCTCATCGATCTTTGCATGTCATAATCACTGAACGTTACAGCTCTGTGAACTGCCTGACTAATATCTTCCGCTCCGTGACTCTCTCTGATTGTGACGCTGTCAGATGTCGGCTGGTCGCTGTCAGTCTCTCCTGTCTCCTGTGACAGAGGAGTCTGGGGAGGAGGGCACCAGCAGTGAGATCTGCTCTCCTGCTTTCTGTCGATCTCCCTCTCCTGTCACTAACACTGACGCAGCCATTAGCAAGGTATTAGCAGTAATGCCAAAGCATCTTATTTCTCGCAGACTTTTCCTTTGCTGCCTTTTTGCAATGATCCGTTTCACCCTAATCTGTGACAGACAGCAGTGCAGTGATTTTTGTAGCATATTAATACGATTTGTTTTTACTTGAACTGTCCTAAATGTAGATGTCCATGGGAAGAGCCACTCTCACCAGAGCCCCCCTCCAGGAGCTGTACAATCCCACGCTGGAGTCTGTGGCCAGTTTAGATGATCTTCAGCGCTCGTGGGAGACCCTGAAAAACGTGGTACGTTGGTCTTTAGTGTTCAACAGTCAAATGCACCAGTATTTCAAATCTGGTATGATTATCCTTCGTGTTTTGCAGATAAGTGAAAAGCAGAAGACGCTCTACGAGGCTCTGGAGAAGCAACAGCGCTATCAGGGATCTTTACAGTCCATCTCTACTAAAATGGAGTCCATCGAGACCAGATTGCTCGAGCCCCCTATGCACGATCTCAGTCCTGACAGACAAATGCTCCTATATCAGGTGAGCCGATTGTAGAGTTCTGAAGGATTTTCTCTGTTGCCTTTGGAGCTTTATATGAAAATGGATGCAGAACAAAAACAAAACCATCATGCTGCCATATTCCTCCAGAATCAGATGGAGGAAATCGTTAGACTGCAGGATGATATAGATGGGCTTCAGTCCAGCTTGACAGAAGAGCTGATGTCTGATGTCGTGGAATCGGACTCTTCAGATCAACTGGCCATGCAGTCCACACTCACTGTGCTGGCGGAGAGGATGGCCACCATACATATGAAGGCTTCAGGAAAACGACAACTTCTTGAGGTATACATATTTTATTATATATATTTTGTTATACTTATACCGTATATCACCTAAAGGATTATTAGGAACACCTGTTCAATTTCTCATTAATGCAATTATGTAATCAACCAATCACATGGCAGTTGCGTCAATGCATTTAGGGGTGTGGTCCTGGTCAAGACAATCTCCTGAACTCCAAACTGAATGTCAGAATGGGGAAGAAAGGTGATTTAAGACATTTTGAGCGTGGCATGGTTGTTGGTGCTGGTCTGGGTATTTCTCAATCTGCTCAGTTACTGGGATTTTCACACACAACCATTTCTAGGGTTTACAAAGAATGGTGTGAAAAGGGAAAAACATCCAGTATGCGGCAGTCCTGTGGGCCAAAATGCCTTGTTGATGCTAGAGGTCAGAGGAGAATGGGCCGACTGATTCAAGCTGATAGAAGAGCAACTTTGACTGAAATTTGTGAAGCCACAGCACGCACAACCTTGAGGCGGATGGGCTACAACAGCAGAAGTCCCCACCGGGTACCACTCATCTCCACTACAAAGAGGAAAAAGAGACTTTAATTTGCAAGAGCTCACCAAAATTGGACAGTTGAAGACTGGAAAAAAGTTGATGAGTCTCGATTTCTTTTGAGTCATTCAGATGGTAGAGTCAGAATTTGGCGTAAACAGAATGAGAACATGGATCCATCATGCCTTGTTACCACTGTGCAGGCTGGTGGTGGTGGTGTAATGGTGACGGGATGTTTTCTTGGCACACTTTAGAGCCCTTAGTGCCAATTGGGCATCGTTTAAATGCCACGGCCTACCTGAGCATTGTTTCTGACCATGTCCATCCCTTTATTGCCACCATGTGCCCATCCTCTGATGACTTCCAGCAGGATAATGCACCATGTCACAAAGCTCGAATCATTTCAAATTGGTTTCTTGAACATGACAATGAGTTCACTGTACTAAAATGGCCCCCACAATCACCAGATCTCAACCCAATAGAGCATCTTTGGAAAGTGGTGGAACGGGAGCTTCTGGATGTGCATCCCACAAATCTCCATCAACTGCAAGATGCTATCCTATCAATATGGGCCGACATTTCTAAAGAATGCTTTCAGCACCTTGTTGAATCAATGCCACGTAGAATTAAGGCAGTTATGGAGGCGAAAGGGGGTCAAACACAGTATTTGTATGGTGTTCCTAATAATCCTTTAGGTGAGTGTTTATAATATGTTAATAAATAATAATATATAATAATATATAAGTTATTTAACAAATAATAAATATACATTTTAGAATAACACAACTGTTCAGAAGTTTGGGTTGCTACAATTTTTTTTAATGTCTTTGAAAGAAGCCTCTTACAGTGTGTTCACAAAGGCTGGGGAACATCAAAAATACAGTGAAAACAGTAATATGAAAAATGATTACGATTTAGATAATCTTTTTTCTATTTTAATATTTTGAAATGTAAATAATTCCTGTGAGGTGAGGCATACAGGAAAACAAGGAGGAGGGGTAAAGACATGACAAACAAAGGAGCACATGGTGAACATAACAAACATAAACCACAAAACACAAAAAGACAGATCCGGCTGGTCAAATGCCCAGTAGATATTCATAGATGTTTATGGTGATGTTTATAGGAGCGACAGAGTGAACGAGTGGAAAAGCAGCAGCAGGCGCAGGCTTTACAGAGCTACCTGAACCAGGCAGACCAGCTGGACCAATGGCTGAGGAGCACTCGGGGTAACATCACTTCCTGCTCTCAGGACTCGGAAGACATGGAAGAGCAACTCAGAGACTGTCAGGTTAGAGCGCCCTCTACTGCCGATTACTAAAATACATAAATTATTTATGATTTACTGTTTAATCTAAAGAAAGAAAATGTTTTATAATGTTTTCCCCTGTGAAGGCCACCATCCCTTCACCTCTGTACAGATAAAACGTTATCAGAATGATTCCAGTTCGCATGGATCCGCGAAAACGACAAAAAAGTCTGTATTATACAGGCCAGACAAGTAATTTGTCAATGTCAATTTTTAAAGAAAGATTAGACGCCTGCACACAGTGCGCTTACCTATTGACTAAACACAATAGCTCGTCACCAGTTTCACAGATTCACGTTTTTGAAGTTTACACAGAGATGATAAAATTTTTTCTAAATTTTTAAAAACGTTGCATTCAAAAGTTTACATTCTCGAGTACGGAGGCGTATTGCATTCACTTGAAGAAAAAATATCTACTCTGTTTTTCTGAATTATTCTGAATCATAATTCTGAATTTTTCATGAGAAAAAAAGTTTTTGCTCTGTTTTTCTGAATTAACGAGTTAATTTTTCATGGAATTTTTTTTATTTATTTTTTATTTTTTTGGCTCTGTTTTTCTGAATTACCGAGTTAATTTTTCATGGATTTTTTTTTTGCTCTGTTTTTCTGAATTAACGAGTTAATTTTTCATGGATTTTATTTTTTTTTTGCAAAAACTTTTTTCTCACGAAAAATTAACTCATTAATTCAGAAAAACAGAGCAAAAAAAAATGTTCTCATGAAAAATTAACTCATTAATTCAGAAAAACAGAGCAAAAACTTTTTTCTCACGAAAAATTAATTCATTAATTCAGAAAAACAGAGCAAAAAAATTTTCTCATGAAAAATTAACTCATTAATTCAGAAAAACAGAGCAAAAAAAAAATTTCTCATTAAAAATTAACTCGTTAATTCAGAAAAACAGAGTAGATTTTTTTTCTTCAAGTGAATGCAATACGCCTCCGTACTCGAGCCACCAAACAATGAACGTCTAGAACACATTAAAAGTGTTCTCTTTTCAGTTAAAACAGTGTCATGTAAGCGGCCCCTAAGTTAATAACTAATGATCTTTGCAATGAAAGTGAATCAATTAAAAATGAACTTTAGCTGGACAAAAACTTTATTCTAGAGCTGCTGTAAAACCAAAACAGTCTCTGTTACTTTAATTTCCTATTATCACTGTAAAGCTGCTTTGAAACAATCTATATTGTTAAAAGCGCTATATAAATGAAGGTGACTTGACTTGTTCGACATTAAGGCCTGCTTTGTGTTTTTGTTAATTCCTCTCAGAGAACAGGATACTTTGTTATCCGTAAACAGCAGTATTACAAGGCCTCTGAGCGTTCTGATGGGTTGATTCTTAAGGGTTTGTGGCACGAGCCATAATCAGATTATGCAAATGTGTCAGCGTAACACTGTTCACAGTTGGCTTTGAGGATATTAGAGGATTCCTGTGCGAGGATTGGTGCCTACTTCCACCTCTTATTGCATATTCATGAGGGTGACTGCAGCATTAGTGGTGAAAGGGGTGGGGCTTCGTTTGATTTTATGGGAAGGTTACAAACTGGCAGATGTCTCAGTGCGAAACACCTTGAAGAACCCTGTGTTGACAATTTTCAAGTGACTTTTGGATATAATTTGAAGTACTTTTATACATTCCTCAAGAATGCATGTTTACTGTGAGCAGCATGGCTCGTGAGGGATTACGGATAACGTACAGCGTCGTAGGTGTTGGTAAGGTTCTGGGATGAGAGCTGCAGAACCATGTTTGAGCTGGCCTCTCTTCTGTTGCTCCTGCAGAACATGCTGCTGGAAATCGAGGAGAAGGTGCTGGTTCTCTCCGAGCTCTCCAGACACAGCGAGACTCTTCTGCTGGAGGGCCGACCGGAGAACAGGGAGGACGCGGAGCAGCTCTCCAGGAAGTTGCGTACGCTGAAAGGCAGCCTGCTAGAACTGCAGAGGATGCTGCAAGACAAGCAGATCAACATTCAGGTGAGACTGGACCTCTGAATCAAGGCAAACTTTAACATGTTTGTTCGGAGGTTCATTTGGAAACCCTAAAAAAGTACTCTAAAACCCTAACATATTGTCATGTCATGCTACTGAATGATTTCCTTATGTATACTAAAATATTATTGTATTAAATGGTACAATTTGGTGCTCCAAATTTTTGGACCACCAAAATTTGTAATTTAGTGCTCCAAATTCCTGTATGGCATCGTTCATAAAATAATTAAATTATTATTATCATTATCAAATATTTTCAGCTATTAACACCATCTCTGACAGTGAGGAGGTATGAAACAAAACCATTATTTTTATTATACAATCTTATGTTAAATCAATTGTAATATATTTGTATAGTTTTATTTAATTTTTAAAAAAAAAATTTAAAAATTTTGAACTAACCATGAGCAATACATTTGTTACTGTTTTTGCTAATATTTGTGAACGTTAGTTAATACAAATCCAGCTGTTCATTTTTTGTTCATGTTAGTTCACAGTGCATTAACTAATGTTAACAAGATTTTAATAAAGTATTAGTGAATGTTGAAATTAACATTAAAAAACAAATGCTGAAGAAGTATTGTTCATTCTTAGTTAATGTTAACTAATGTAGTAACTAATGAACCTTATTGTAAAGTGTTACCAATTTTTCTACAACATAAAACTGTATATTAAAGTAAACTAGGTAGTTTTTTGTAAGTACACTTAAATCCAGGATTAAAGTAAAATTCATGTTAAAATAACGTGAAAAATAATGAAAAAAGGATTTTATTTGTTAACATTAATTAATGTATTAACTAACATGAACTGAACATTTGTTACTGTATTTGTTAATCTGTGTTAACATTAGTTAATAAAATAGACATCGGTTCATTGATTGTTCATGTGCTAATGTGCTAACTAATGTTAAGAAATGCAAGTTTTTATTTTAACGATGTATTAGTAAATGTGGAAATTAACATGAACAATGGATAATAAATGCTGTAAGTGCAGAAACTAATGTAGTTAAATGATAAGAAAAAATAAAGGCTTTATTGTAATAAAATTACATAAAATATTAAAAGTGCATTGCGCAAAATTTCATTTTAAAAATACCCGTTTTTCTAACCCATACATGCTTAAACAATTGCCTGATCACTGCGATTGCCTCTATAATCCTGTACAGTAAAATAAATAAGAGGGAATCGGGACGGAATTTATGACTGGGCGTGACGTCATTCGCATTCACGCTCACCTGGCAGGTTTGTCCATTCAGCGCCATTCCTCGTATCAGCGAAGACAACTTGAGCGACAAAACTTTTGTCAACATTCGACAAAAGTAGATGACGGATTCAAAGAGACCAGCTTGTAGTTCATTCCAAACCCCAATGCAAACTCCACGTAAGACAAAGAAAATAAAACTTTTATCTAGTGCCAGGCGTCGGAATAAGACGAGAGTCAACATCGGGAAGGCTTTCAACAAACGGAGAGATCTCCAGTCTGCTCTAGGGCTCAAACAGGTCCTGTACAAAGTAATAACTTATATTCTTCATGAACATGTTTCCATAATGATACAATCATAAGTGGATACAGTAAGCACATAAAACAATTCAACATGGATATAGATGGAAACAAAAAACGAAGTTTTCTACTACCCCCTTTTTCCCCTCATACATAAATGTGTAATTTACTTGAATGCTTTCCTTTCATAAATTTAAAATGACTTGCAGATTTATAACTTCATTACCTCTGAAGACATTATGACTGTAACAAAAGATTTGTGCGGCTGACGCTCCTTTGGTTATGAACAGCTCATGCAAGCGTGCGTGTGCGTGTGGTCGTGAGCGTGCACACTTCTGGTTGCAGTTTCACTTGTTGCCAGAGGGAGTTCTGCAAAAACCCCGTAGAGACTTGCGCAATGCACCTTTAAAAAAAAAAAAAAAAAAGGTTTTATTCAAATAAAATAGATGTTTTATTATAAATTTCATTTCTTTCTGAGTAAAATTTGACCCACTTTTTGTGAGATTCTCTAAAAGTTTTGTCTTTTATTTCCTGCAGGCGACTTTAATTTGGGAGGAGTTGAAAGGCCTTCAAACATCATGTGTAATAATGATATATTACAGCATAGGGGTTTTTTTTTCTTGTCACTCTATGTGCAGAATAATTCAGCAGCACTGGGTTCTGGGTCTGAATACCACAATCTCATGCATGGCTTCCTCTTTTCCTGCTGTTATTCACAAGAATATTGCAGAATATGAGAATGATGACTGATTATTTGATTCATGATTGTATGATCTTTTGATTTTATTGTAATTCAATTCCAACAAGGTATTTACGGTATTGAAGACTATTAATCCGCCGTATGTTTGCATTGTCCCTCTCCCGCAGGATTCCCTTCAGGAACCGTCAGACTCCAGTGAATCAGACTCCAGTCTGTCCCAGAGTCCAAACATGCAGGACTGGCTGGCCCAGGCCCGCTCCACACGCAGCCTACAGCACCAGGACACCCTCCAGAAACAAAAGGTACATAACATTTCACAAGAAGAAGAGCGATCAAAATATCTAGAACTATCAACATTGTGTCCTTAATGCCTAGTTCACACTACATGATTTTAAAATGTCGGGCTGAACTGTGCAGTTCACACTAAATGACTTGCTCTCAGTGAAATCATGAGTGTTCAAGTTGTTTAGCTGTTCACACCACACAACACAACGTGATTGATCCACAACAGGACGTAACTCACTACACGAGTTAACAACGCACTACACAGAGATACAACCACGATCGGATGATAAGAGCATATCATTTGTGACTCAATGAGAGCTGTTTCAGTACTGTAGTACGGTCTAAATCCTGAAAATAATCAAACAAATAACGAGTTGACAACAACACGATTCTATCTGGTCTAGAAACCATGTTTTGTCACGAAAAACCACGCAATAAAACGAACCAGAAATGACGCGAAACTGCAGAGAAGAACACAACACACGAATATGGACGTCAGACAGAAACTAGTGCTGCACACGGTTTGCTCGACGATCTGCTCTGAGAAAAAAAATGCAAAAAAGAAAAAGTAAGATTTACCTGGTGTCCTCAACCCATGCGTTGCTATGATTGGCTGTACTCATGACATCACTGAAATTGAGTCGCGCGACTGCTCGAGATATCTAGCATGCTAGATATTTTTCTGAGCTCGGTGACCTGTCTGCGAGGTGTCTGCGAGCTGTCTTTGATGCGTTGTTGGCTCTTTCACACTATCGGATTGGCGAGCGTTAATCGTCCGCTAATCGCCCGCGATTTGCACGCGATAACACCCTGACTTGTCGGCGACTCAACGATTTGCAAATCGGGCTTAAATCGGGCTTAAAATCACGTAGTGTGAACTAGGCTTAAGGTGTAGTAAGAAAGCGTCTACTAAATGAGGAACGATAATATATTATGTTCATTCAGGAGCTTGAAGAGCAACTTGCAGAGCAAAAGAAGCTGTTGAAATCTCTAGCAAGTCGTGGAGAGGAAATACTCACCCAACAAGCATCGCCCGTCAGAACAAGGTACCATTAACCTGCATTTCGCTCTCACTGTTTCCTTTTCTGACGCTCTCTTTACAATTCTTGTCCGTCAAATCTTCTGCAGTGCGACGGAGACCCTGTCCCCTGATATAGAGCTGGAGGGAGACAGTCAGGCCGTGAAAAAGCAGAGGAGAAAGAGATGGGAAAGTCTGAAAAAAGACATGCTCACTAAACTACAGCTCCTCATGAACACCCTGGAACAAGACAGCAAACAACCGGTACACTGATTTCTTCACAGTATCCACATCGCTCAAATGTAGAGCAGATTATGATTTTAGATTAACATGCATATTGTAGGGCAACAATTTTTAATCACCTTTTAACTTTTTTGCTGATTAGTAGTGTTGCTTTCGTCAACGAAAATTATGACTAAATATCATGACGAAAACGAGACGAGACGAGACGCAAATGAGCGCACGGTATGAGCGCTAATCTATAACTGTTATAACTGTATGGGTGCGGGAAAAATACGCACTGCAAATGGAGTATGTGTGAAACAGGCGTTAGCATAAACGACAACAAACAAAGTTAAGTCTGACACAGAGAAAGGGGTTCGTCTTTGGGAGAAAAAGAAGAAATGACATTTGGAAAAACTTTCATTTCATCATGTGTGTAGGCTACTAACATGTTTGATTGGTAAAATAAATGTGTTGTAAATTCAAGTAAATTCAGAGCGTCTTCCTGGAATCATTCTTGAGTCTATAAGGTAACAATAATATAAGAAGATAACTATAAGAAGATAAGATTGTTTGAAATGGGTTTGGCTAAAAGAAAAAAATTGGTTTCGTCTATAGGCTAGCCTACTACTAGGTAGGCTTCTTATATATTGACTGGGTTAAATAGAATTGCCTACTAAAAAGAGACTAAAATACAATTTTCATTGACTAAAACTAGACTAAAATGTCATCGGTTTTCGCCGACTAAAACTAGACTAAAATGTCATCCGTTTTCGCCAACTAAAACTAGACTAAAATGTCATCGGTTTTCGCCGACTAAAACTAGACTAAAATCTCATCCGTTTTCGTTTTCGTCGACTAAAACTAGACTAAAATGTCATCAGTTTTCGTCGACTAAAACTAGACTAAAATGTCATCAGTTTTCGTCGACTAAAACTAGACTAAAATGTCATCAGTTTTCGTCGACTAAAACTAGACTAAAATGTCATCAGTTTTCGTCGACTAAAACTAGACTAAAATGTCATCAGTTTTCGTCGACTAAAACTAGACTAAAATGTCATCAGTTTTCGTCGACTAAAACTAGACTAAAATGTCATCAGTTTTCGTCGACTAAAACTAGACTAAAATCTCATCAGTTTTCGTCGACTAAAACTAGACTAAAATCTCATCCGTTTTCGTCGACTAAAACTAGACTAAAATCTCATCCGTTTTCGTTTTCGTCGACTAAAACTAGACTAAAATGTCATCAGTTTTCGTCGACTAAAACTAGACTAAAATGTCATCAGTTTTTGTCGACTAAAACTAGACTAGACTAAAAAGAGTATGAACATGACTAAAACTAACAAAAACTAAAATGTCAGCTTGACACAAAGACTAGACTAAAACTGAAATTAAAACAGGCCGCCAAAAACAACACTACTGATTAGCTATAAAGTGTGACAAATGAATTTCTGAAAGTGCATACATCAATGCAGTCTCTCAATTAATGAGTATACAACTATTAGGGGTGGGAATCTTTAGGCACGTCAAGATCCGATCCGATTCTGTGAGTCACAATCTGATTCTTCACAGTCTTTACATTAGTTTATAACATGGAAATAAATCTCAAAATTTATTTAATTGCATATGTAATGAAAAGTACTTTTCAAAATAATTACAAATTAAAAAATGTAATTAAATTGTATGCTAAGAATTTTAAAGGAGCTGTATGTAAGAAATTTATTTCAAATAATCATAAAATGGATTTGTCACTAGACATTAAGAAATCATGTTCATTCACAAATACTTAAATCACTGACAACTGTAGTCCGGCCAGGATATTGTCATTTAAAAAGTAAAGTTACAGCCCTCAACTGTCATGTCGTGTTTTGGTCTGATGCTCCACCCTCCACCGATCTACCAATCACGAAGTCAATAATGTTGCAGCATTCGGGTTGCCAGCTCTGCTCTAGTTAACACAGCTGAAGCGACAAATGTGTTGGATAAAAATATGTTGTATCCTCCAGCATATCTGGCAACCTCGAGTGGGGGGGGTGGGGATGTACACGGCTCTACAGTAATTTGAAAGTGATTGCAGTACCAGTTTTGGCCACAATCTTACATCCAGCTCATTTAAATACATAAACTAATATAGCTTCAAAATGTAAAATAAGAAGTAGTCTAAATATTTAAGAGGAAACATATTACAAGCAATAAAACGAAGAATGCGCTCAGTAGAGGATCTGAACGTGTTCCATTCAAGAGCAGTGAGTGATTTTACTCTTTCTCAGCTTTATTGTTGTTTGATTATTATAAGAGCATTTTAAGATGCAAGTACATTTAACCAGTTACACGGAGTCGTACACAGACGCATAGATGCCCACTGCATTCCAAACGACATAAATTATGCCTTCGTACAGCGTTTGTAAGGAAATAACAGCGGGCGAGACCGCACACTGCAAGCGTATAACATCAAGCAATGCCCGTGTTTTTCACAACGCATATCCTGTCCAATGAAGTCCGAGAATGCCCTTGTAATTCGCTTCAACCTTTCCAAACTTATTTTATTCGATTATTTTGTGTGGTGTGTGTGTGTGTGAGAGAGAGAAATTGGAACCAAGCAGAATACGGGTCTTTCTAAAGCACACTCGGCGTCATCGCGCATCTGCGGTTAAAAACTACACTCAGAATCAATCCTGAATCATTGAAGAGAAAATGGTGATGCAATTTCAATTTCAATTTCAATATATCTTTATTAGCATGACTGTGTTACATAATGTTGCCAAAGCATCAACATATTATATATATAAATAATAGAACAAACAAACAGAACATATATGTATAGATCATGTCATATGTAGCTTGGTAAATAAATTAACACAGTATATATTAATAAATGAATAAATACAATTAGCTGTCTCTGGCGTTGTGAATAGCTAACACATATTTAGCCGCTAGTGCAGCTGTATTATCATCTTCTCTGAGTAAGAGACTCAGATCAGAGAATGATGGGATCAAGGCTTCAAATCTTGGCAGAAAAGTTTCTCTAATATTGGTATATTTGGGACAGAAGAGCAGAAAGTGTTCCTCATCCTCTATGATGCATATTTTTATTTTTTTCTCCCACCCCTAACAAATATACATTTACAATGTATACTTGTATACATGCTTTTGGCAGATGCTTTTATCCAAAGCAACTTACATTGCATTACAAGGCATAAATGTGATTAGTTTCCTGGAAATCAAACCTATGAACTTGGCATTCATCTCATAAATCTTTTTATCAATCTATGTTGCATAATACTATCAATCTCTCGTTCCCTTTTTGTGCATTTGGGTTCTCAACTATCATTTTACTTTAAACTTTAGCACTATTCTTTATGCGGCCTAGCTGCCTTCAGGGAATGCAAAAATTCTTGCACAACTGGAGCACAGTTGTAATACTCGGAAACTCTCTCTGTTGGTGGAGTGTTTCGTAAAAGTTTTATTTTTTCTATCAGTTTTACTCCAGAACTGCCTGTGTGAAGACTGCCGCCCCCGTTTATAAGAGAGAGACTCACGTCCAGGACAAGTCCAGCCTGATGTCCCTGCACAATGGATTCAGTCAGACAGTAAAGGAAATAACCCCTCAGGTAGACACATTTATATCAAACAGTTCTGGTGCTTTGATACATGCAGTTGTGACGACACAACAATTGAGTAGTGAATTGAATTGTTTTAACAGTTGTTTTCAATTGTTTTAATTGAACTGTTTTATGAATGGTTACACACCTTAAAGGGATAGTTCACTTTGAAATTAATTTTTGGTATGTTTTAGCTTACCCCAAGGGCATCCAAGATGTAGGTGTCATTGTTTCCGCAGTAGTTTCAATTTTGATATTTTTAGGTCAAACCGTTCTTGTCTGTCAGTCATATAATGGAGGTCTATGGTCACCACCTCAAAGAGCATGCACAGAGAAGTCCAAATTAAACATGATTTAATGACTCATAGATGTCAGTACACATACTAAGTAAAAAACTAACAGTATTCATACTAAATTGTATTACCAAAAAGTATCCAAAAATCCCTTTAACCATGGTAAAATCACTATAATGCACAAACTATTGCTTAACTTGACAGCTTATCATAACAGTATGTGTGTGTCATGTGTATGATGTGTTATTGTTTCTACAGGCCACAGAGCGCGAGGTCGTTCTGATGGAGCAGCAGCTTTATTCGGCAGTCACAGCCTCTTCCTCTTGGGTGGATGATGTGGAGAACACACTGTTTTCTGGCCCTGCGCTGCTGACGGAGAACGCTGAGACACAACTGTCCAATTATGAGGTCTAAACTTACAGCAGCAAATTTTGCTAGATAATATCCGATTCCTATCTGAGACATCATGTTCGCCCACATTCTGTTCTCCGGATGTTTGTTTTATATAAAAGACATTTTACACTAAACAATATAATATTATATATCCTCATATATATATATATATATATAAATGAGTTCTGGACAATAATTTAAGCTTAAATTATAATTGTATTATTAAAACTATTAATTATGTTATTAAAGGACATTTATGTTTTATATTATTTGAATAAAAAACTAGTGCTGTCAAATCGATTAGTCTATATACAGTATATATATTATATATACAGATTAGTCTATCTATCTATCTATATATATATATATATATATATATATATATGTATGTGTATGTTTGTGTATGTTTGTGTGTGTCTTTGTATATAAACGTACATTGCAATTTTGAAAGTTTGGTAAGATTTTTAATGTTTTCAAAAGAAGTCTCTTCTGCTCTCCAAGGCTGCATTTATTTGATAAAAAACAAACAAAAAAAAACTGTAATATTGTGAAATATTCTAAAAAATTTTAATAACTGTTTTGTATTTTGAAGCAAAGCTGTATTTTCAGCATCATTACTCCAGTCTTCAGTGTCACATGATCCTTCAGAAATCATATTTTTATCATAATCATATTCTAAAATGCAGATTTTCTCCTCAAGAAACATTTATTATTATTATCATTAATGTTGAAAACAATTATGTACAAAACATTTTTATATTTTAAAAGTTAATATTTTGAGTCATCTTTTATTTTTTCGATTTTCATTTTAGTTTTAGTAAATTTAGTACTTCAGCTTTTTTATTTGAGTTTGTTGCCAAGGGAACATTTCTCATTGAAGTTTTTTAGCAACACTGCCAACTGTGAAAAGTGAAACGTAGATAGATCTGTAGAATTATCTGAAACACATTTATAAATATCTATATTTTTTGCTTGACTCGCAGACATTGGGAAAAGAAGTGACGGAGGTGACCAGGGTGGCCAGCCACAGCCAGGGCCAGATCGCCAGCTCTGTGGGTCTCTCTGAGGAAGAGCAGACCCTGATGAAGGACACTCTGGACTGTCTGACGCGACGCCTGGGGGCCCTGGACTCGGCTCTGGACCGCCGCTGTGACACCATGCGGAGCAGAATGCGAGAGCTCACGGCTTTCCAGGTGGGAATCAGGCCTGATGGGCATCATTCAGTTCGGTACATGAATGCAACACTGCAACATCATCTCAGTTCCTGTTTCTTTTCAGACGGAGTTGCAGCATCTCTTTACAGCAATTAGTGAAAGCAAGTTCCAGGTTATCCAGAAAATGGCAGGAGTTCTTGACCACACAACAACTAAACAGCTTGAAGTAAGATTTTTTTTATTATTATTAATTAATGTTTTGGATTAACAGTGATTTCAGTTGTATTGGTGTTATTTTAGTATTATTCATATATCATTATAGTATTCATTAATATTACATTTTCATTTTTTTCCATTTTTATTTTAATGTTAGTTTGGTCATTTTGTAAAGTGCTGTTGTCAATTTTAGTTCAATTTTTTTTATTAAAAAATAATAATTTAAAGAAATCAGTTTTAGTAATTTACGTTTGAAGTAATCGTATTACCTCAAATTAAAGGCATAGCTCACCCAAAAATGAAAATTGTGTCATAATTTACTCACTTTCAAGTTGTTCCAAACCTGCATGAATTTCTTTCCTCTACTGAACACAAAAGGTATTTTGAAAAATGTTGCTAACCAAACAGTTGATGGACCCCATTGACTTTTCAATGCTATTGAAGTTTGGTCACCCATACTCTTCAAAAATCATCTTTTGTGTTCAGCTGAAGAAAGAAATTCATACAGGTTTGGAACAACATGAGAGTGAGTAACTGATGACATAATTTTCATTTTTGGGTGAATAAGTCCTTTAAGCTCATTTCAAAGTTTTTCATACATTTCAGTTTACAAAAATTATTGGTAATAGTTTGTTTTAGTTAAAGGGATACTCCACCATTTCTTCATAATAAATAGTATTACATTTCATATTAATGTTATTCGCTTAACTAAGACGAGTTGATATACATACCTCTCTCGTCTCAGTGCGTGCACTCAATCGCTCTGGTGCGCGAGACACTTTGATAGCACTTAACTAGCCCAATTCATTTAATATGGGCCAAGAAGATTTTCTCCATATAATGCACTTCAATGGGAACCAAACGGTTCAAGGTCCAAAAGACAGTTTCAGTGCAAACTGTTCAAAGGGCTTTAAACGATTCCAGACGATGAATAAGGGTCTTATCAAGCAAAACGATCGCTCATTTAATCGAATCGAATCTTTTTCCGAGCCGATTCGTTCATGTCGTTCGTTGAATGAACCAAATGACTCGGAAAAAGATTCATTCATTTTGATGAATGAGTCGAAAACAGGAGAGTCGCAAACGTGCATCGCAGTACAGAGCAAGGCGACCATTTGAGCTTATAAAACTTAAACTTTGTTATTTATTTATTAAATGAGCGATCGTTTCACTTGATAAGACCCTTATTCATCGTCTGGAATCGTTTAAAGCCCTTTACACTGAAACTGTCTTTTGGACCTTGAACCATTTGGTTCCCATTGAAGTCCATTATATGGAGAAAAATCCTGGAATGTTTTCATCAAAAACCTTCATTTCTTTTCGACTGAAGAAAGAAAGACATGGACATCTTGGATAACATGGGGGTGAGGAAATTATCAGCAAAATTTTTTTCAAAAGTGAGCTACTCCTTTAAGTGCTATCAAAGTGCCTCGCGTTCCAGAGCGATTGAGTGCACGCACTGAGACAAGACAGGTATGTATGTATTAACTCGTCTTAGTTAACGGAATAACATAGTTTAATATGAAAAAACAGTGGAGTATCCTTTTAACAATAGCAACACAGTAGCACAGTTATCGGTGTGAACTCTTGTGTCATCGCTGTGTCACTTTTGTTCTGACAGACTATTGCAGAGGTAGAAGAGACGCTGAAAGACTTTGAACACAGAATAACAGAGCTGAAAGCCAGAGGGGCGGAGCTACACCCGGACCAGTTCTCCACCAATGAGCTGCTGAAGCTACAGGTACACGACCAATCATTGGAATCAACGTGGGCAAAAATAAACACTTTCATTCTTACATTCACTTTTGTGCACTGTATTATTATAAAAAAGAGAAGCAGACAATATAGTCCTAAAATATAATGGTTAAGACCTGAAACACCTGGGTCCTCTCAAAGTTGTCCGTGTGTGTGCTGGACAGGATGCTTATGAGGAGCTGGTGATGACGGTGGGCTCTCGGCGGAGCGGGCTGAATCAGAATATGGCCTTGAAGAATCAGTATGAACGAGTTCTGCAAGATCTTATTGATCTGGTGGACACGGCCCAGGATAAGATGACCGCTGACCAGAAGATGATTGCCAGCTCAGTAGAGGACGTGCACAGCCTTCTAGACAAACACAAGGTACACCAAACTCCTAAACACATCTTGTGGGTGAAAAACATGTATATGACCTTACTTCAACATGTGTCCCTAAATGCTTGATTTCCAGGAATTTTTCCAAGGCTTGGAGTGGCACATGGTCCTCACTGAGACATTCTATAAGAAAATTAGTGCCTTTGTTTTGCCACGTGAGCGCCAGACTCTGGAGGAGACGCTAGCTCGCGCTCAGGATGTGCTCAAGCAAGCGCACAAAAAAGGAGTTGAGCTGGAGTGCATCTCAGAGGTAACATGATTTTTATTCGGTATATATTCACACACACACTATTGTTCAAAAGTTTGGGGTTTCAGTAAGGTTTTTTAAAAAGGTCAACATTTTACAGACATTTATAATGTTACAAAAGATTTCTATTAAAGATAAATGTTGTATTCACCCAAAAATGTCGCACAGGTTCCACAAAAAATATGAAGCAGCACAACTGTTTTCAACATTCATGTTGGATGTTTATGGGCTCTATGCACGGCGGTATTTCCGGTGAAGGTTTAAGGATGCTCGATAACTTCCGCCGACCGTAGAGTCCAATGCAAAACCGAGAATTTATATTGAATTTTATACCCCATGGTTATACTAAAGAAACGTTAGTCACAAAAACAGATAAAACAGACACCCCTCGTTGTGTTTGTGCTTCTTTTTAAAATTATATTAAATAAACATAACTATATATAAAATTACATCTAATCTTATGTACGTTTCGTTTCATATGATATATGATTCGTGTGATCGCAAATAGGAAAGTGAAATTTGTGAAATGTGTAACTTCCTTTCAAAACATAGTATGTGGCTTCGGGCACATCCCAAATGTTTATAAATGCATGCATGCATAGTAGCATTTATATTAGCATTTATATGAGTAGCATTTATATTTTAAAGTATGCAACTGTTTCCTACTTATGTGTTTGTATGTTTGTGACTTTATCAGACATGGAGTCGTCTAGTTTTGGACTATCAGACCCTGTACCGTTTGCTTGAGGCTGTGGAGGGCAGTCTGCCGAGGGTCGGCCTGGTGGAGGAGACCGAGGAGAGACTGAAGGAAAGAATTGAGCTCTATCAGGTACTTAATCAAATGAGATATCTGGAGTAACATGGGTATGATTAGTGTATTAGGATAGATGATGGACATGTCTACTGATCTCCATGATCTTCACCTAAGGCCCTGAAGGCGAGTCTGATGGAGAACCAAAACAAGCTGCATCAGGTGCTGGAGGAAGGGAAGCATCTTCTGTCAGATGTGAGCTGCTCCAGCCTGGAGAACCAGCTCACTCTTTTGGGCGAACACTGGCTCAACAACTCCACCAAGATTAACAAAGAGCTACACAACCTGGACTCCATCCTGAAGCACTCTACCAGGTCAGGAGCTAAGTTTTAGACTGAGATTCATTGTTTTATTGATTTTATTCTATAATCTTCATGGTTATATGTGCTTGTTTTTGGTCACAGGTATAAGCATGAGTCTGTTGAACTGAGTCGCTGGCTACAGGAAGCTCTGGAACGCTTGGAGTTCTGGAACACACAGACTGTTGCTGGTCCTCAGGAGCTGGAGACTGTTAAAGACCAGCTATCGGCTTTTCTGGTTAGTTAGGCTTTCTTAATGTTAATAAATTACAAACGTTGGATGTGTTTGGGATGTTGATGCATTTGGCAAACCAATTTCACCAGAAAAACCATACTGGCCCACACAGTGGTGAACAGAATGCTGAAATATTGATTAACAGAATGCTGCTGCTGATTTATTGTATTTTTATTTTTATTTTTTTATTTGTTTTATTTAGTGTTTTTATTTTTATTTTGTATGTTTAAAAATATATGTATATATGTATTTTTTAATTTAATTTTATTTTATTTTATTTTATTTTATTTTATTTTCACTTGTCCTGTGTATGGTTGTGTGGATGCTGGAGCCTATTTATTTATTTGTTCATTTATTAATTTATTTTCCATCCAACCACCAATCTACCCATTTATCCATTCCATATTTATATTTATAATAATATTACATTAATATTTTTTATTATATAATAATATTCCCAATGTAATGTTTTTGCCAATGATCAAATAGTTTCAATAAAAGATTTAATTAAGAATTATTAAGAATTAAATATTTATTATTTGTTTAGTTATTTAAATCCCTGCATGTCCATTATGGAAATAATTCTGAAAACCTCAATATACATGTGTTGTGTTGTGTTCAGGAGTTCAGTAAAGAGGTGGAGACTCGCTCCAGTCTAAAGGCCTCAGTGCTGAACGAGGGAAACCAGCTGCTGAGACTGAAGAAGATGGACACCGCGTCTCTGCGGTCTGAACTCACCCGTCTGGACTCTCAGTGGTCTGAACTGCTCGCCCGCATTCCCATTGTTCAAGAGAAGCTCCACCAGGTACAGACCAGCGCTTCTAAACAGGCTAATCTGCTCCAACACGTAGGATTCGTTTCTGAGGTTCTTTCCTAGTCTTATAAATCTTATAAAGATATATTGTTCATTTGTTTTAGTCTCAGATGGATAAGCTGGCATCCTGTCACGCCATCTCTGAGCTTGTGAACTGGATTTCATTGATGGAGAGAGTGATAGAAGAGGATGAGGAAAATCTCAAAGGGGCTGTTGGGTCAAAGGTCATCCAGGAGTACCTGCAGCGATACAAGGTGACATCATTTTTCATTTTTACCTGTTAGATTCATCAAATGTCAAGTGATGTGTTCCATTAAAGCTCTGCATTAGACCGGATTTTATGACGATTGAGTAATTACAAATGACTAGCCTAGTTTGTGTGGAGTGTATGTTTTTACACACTGTTGTGTTTCTCTACTTCTTGTAGGGCTTCAGAGTGGACGTCAACTGCAAACAGCTCACTGTGGACTTTGTGAATCAGTCAGTGCTCCAGATCAGCGGTGCGGATGTGGAGAGCAAACGCAGCGATAAGACTGACTTCGCTGAGAAACTGGGCACCATGAACTGCCACTGGCAGATACTGCAGACACACATCACTGAGAGAGTGAGACTTCAGATTATACTTCTACACAACTCTCGATCGTTTCGTTCTGAAATGTTGTACTTTTAAGAAGATTCAAAATGTTAAATCTCGCATTGCTTTACACTGACTAAATGTTTGCCATTCAGAATCACCCATAAAAGGATTTTGTAGCTGTATAACGGCACAGGAATGATTAGAAATGGCATTACCATTTTTATGTGCCATGATATTTACACTACATGTTTCTACGAGATACAATTAATGGCTATATAATGGTACACATCCATATTATGTATTAAAATCAATAGTAATAGAGCAGTGGTTCTCAACCTTTTTGACTTGAAGGCCCCTCCAACACAATATTCAAACTCTCTCTACATAATATTGTTGACAGAATTAATAATAGGTAGGTAAATTAATAAGTAATTCATAAATAGTAAAGTTGATAGGTAAATATTTTACCTATCAACACTCCCATACCAAATATTAATATTAAATATTAAATTAATTTTGTTATTGTATACAGAGTGAATTATGGTTAATACAGTTTGCCATATATATATATATATATATATATATACATACAAATACAATTTTTGTTGTATTTGTGTGTGTGTGTATATATATATATATATATATATATATATATGAAGAGTTCAGATGCAAAAGCCTCTAAATGCCATTTGAAATTTTCTTCTTTAATGATGATTTTTATCAAACTTGTATATTTAAGTTCAGTAATTTCACTTAAATAACAATTAATAGGTAATTATCATTGCCATTTAAGTGAAATTACTGAACTTAAATATACAAGCTTGATAAAAATCATCATTAAAGAAGAAAATTTCAAATGGCATTTAGAGGCTTTTGCATCTGAACTCTTCATATATATATATATATATATATATATATATATATATATGTGTGTGTGTGTGTGTGTGTGTGTGTGTGTGTGTGTGTGTAATACATTATTAATACATTATATATAACTTAATTAAAATGCTAAAAAATTAAGATGTAAACTAAAATAATATTTTTTCACCACTCAATTATTATTGTTTCTATTGATGAACTGTATGTTCTTCACTAAAAATAATAGTTATTGAGGGGTGAAAAAATATTATTTTAGTTTACATCTTAATTTTTTAGCATTTTAATTCCAATTTAATTTTAATTTAACCCTAACCCTTACTTTTTTAGCATTTTAATGAATTTATTAAGAATTTATTTTAATTAAAAATACATTATTATTTTGTTAGTAATTATAGTAATATGAATGATATAATAATGGTAATTATTATTTTAATACATAATTAGAATAATTATATAAATAATAGTATACAGTACATCATTTTAAGTCATCCTGCCGCCCCCTTGGTTGAGAACAACCGTATAAAAGTGGCACTTTTTTGCATACTAAATTGTGATTATATACTGATTTATGATTTACTGTTTTACTTATTATAGTTATTCTGTAAAATAATAAATGTGTCATTTGTTACATTTCATTTTTCCTGTTTCAGATGCAATATCTGGAAGGTTTGTTGGCATCCTGGGTTGAATATGAGGGTAAAGTTCAGGGTCTTCAGGCGTGGCTGAACGCTCAGGAGGACCGACTCAAGAGAAAACACAGGATTGAGAATTTATCCTCCGTACAGAATGCACTCAAAGACTGTCAGGTTTGCCTGTTTGACCAGACACATGGTCTTATTTTATTCAACATGACCTCTGTGAGTAGGCTTTCTCCAGCACCGGAATACAGATTGTTTGTTGTCGTATATGTAACAGGAGATGGAGGAGATGGTGAAAGAGAAGGAGAGAGAGCTGGAGAGAGTGGAGGAACAAGCCTGTGCTCTTGTCCAAAACAAGACGGATGAGGCTTGTGCTGTTGTCATGGAGTCTCTACAAGCTTTGAATAACACATGGGCCAATCTGGACCACCTGGTATTACTATTTATTTCATTTGCATTTCATTTTAATCAGCCCTTAATTTAATGCTGCCTCGGAGTTTGGTTAAAATGAAGTAAATTGAGGTTTCGAACAGAACTTTATTGATTTATTTATGTTTTTGTTTGTCTCAGATCGGGCAGCTCAAGATCAGCCTGAAGTCGTTCCAGGACAAGTGGAGTCAGTACAAACAAGCGTCTGAAGAGATCAACGGCTACCTGACGGAGGGACGCTACTCTGTGTCCCGCTATCGTCTGCTCACGGGATCTCTGGAGGCTTCACGGCTGCAGGTGGAGAGTTTACAGGTAAATCAAGTCCCTGTTTGTCTATTACTCTGTAAATTCTGAATCTGAAGGGGGAAAATGACTGCTGTTCTTTCTTCTGACGTCTTCAGAACCTGCAGGAGGAGCTTGAGAAACAAGAGAGCAGCCTGAGAAAGTTTGGATCAGTTACACATCAGCTTCTGGAGGAGTGTCACCCATCTGTGTCTGACACTCTCAACAACACACTAAAAGACATCAACGCCAGGTGCATGTGGTGCTAAATTTGATGCTTCATCTGTGTTTTTTTTTTAATACAATAACTTAATCTCTGTCTCTCTCTAATATATACTGGTCAAAGGTTTTAAAGGGGTCATGACATGGTTTTTTGTTTTGTTTTATTATGTTCCCTTAGGTGCAATTATAGTATTACTATAGTTTTTTGTACAAAAAAAAAAAAAAAATGTAGTTATTTATGACATTTTCCCACCCTGTTTATCACCTCTGATTCAAACAGTCTGTTTTGGGGTGTTTCCCCTTTAAGACTTCAGTGTTAACGCCTATACTGTTATGATTGGCTAACGTCAGTGCTGCTTATGCATAAATTATTAATGTTAATCATTTTGTATCACATGTAGACTACACAATGCTCCACCACGTGAAACTTCGGTCTTCCAATCTTTTACCATCGTGTCAATTCTCAATTGATTTTGATTCATATGCGCGAGGGAGGGAGAGAGAGAGAGAGAGAGAGAGAGTTTGAAGGCGTGCGCACGGCCAGGGCTCGCTCGCTCTCTGCCCTGTCACACTCACCGTTCAAATAAAGCTGTGGCGCGCTGCATATGCTGCAAATAAACTGCATACGACTGCTTTCCCTGACGTCTGAATCATTCGGCAGCGTATTCAAACATGTTGTTTGTCCACAGCAGCAACAGCACATCTGCGTGGCATCACAGTCGTCTTGTAAACAGATCCACTCGCTGCACGACAACGTATGCGATGATGCGAAATGAGGCGTAGTTGTCTTGCGCTGGAGGCGGTCATATGCAAACGATTGGTACGTCACTTCGTACCGTGACGTCACTTCATACCATGGATCCAGAACGAGCTTTGTATTTAGAGCTTGATTAAATAAATGGTTCGTTTATAATGGGGAGGACATCTTAAGCTATGAAACTTGCTGGAAGTTTTAATAGTACATAGATCTCTTATATACCAAAAGATCAAGGCAAATTTGGTTTCTCATGTCATGACCCCTTTAAATATTTTTTTTTATGTTTCGTGTTCGTCTCGTCAGCTTACCAAGGCTGAATTTATTTGAACTAAAATACAGTGAAAACATTAATGCTGTGAAACAGCATTTCTTTGAAATAGAAATCTGTTGTTACATTATAAATGAATTTATTGTCAATGTCTTTTTAACTAAAGGCAGTGGTGGAGAAAGTATTGAATCTCAGTACTTAAGTAAAAGTACAAATAACCAGATAAATATTTACTTTAGTAAAAGTAGAAGTAACACAATGACAACCATACTTAAGTAAAAAGTAAAAAGTACCTGATTTTAAATGTACTTTAAGTATTAAAAGTAAAAGTACTTGCAAAACAATTTAGTCTCTTAATGTCTATTTTCTAATGATTAATAAAACATTTAATTCTAACTCATTCAACCTAATACTCCTATAATGATGTTCAATAATGATGGAAAAAAAATGTTGTCACCATTTCTGAAACAAGCTTGCAATTAGGCAATATGAACATCATGCTTATCCTTACTATATGTCAATAACTATGTTTGGCAGTAAATGCGATTAATTTATGGTGTAATTCTGAACCTCTTGGCTTGCCATAATCCTAACCAAACGTATATTACACATGGTGCGTTTCCTATGCACGTAAAAACAAATTTTCGCGTATAAATTGCACGATAAAAGCACTGTGTGCAAGACGCATTTAGTGTGACCGGGTTGATATATCAATGGCAACCAAACGTCACTGGTGAGACAAACGTGCAACGAACGGACGGTCAGATTACCTTTTGGCAGTGGAAAAACTGATCAGAAAATGTAACAGAAGTTGTAGAAATGTAGTGGAGTAGAAAGTAGAATAATTGCTGCAAAATGTAACGAGGTAAAAGTAAAAAGTATACACTATTTATTCTACTTAAGTAAAGTAAAGATACTTGAAAAATGTACTTAAGTAAAGTAACAAAGTATTTGTACTTCGTTACATTCCACCACTGACTAAAGGACAATTCAGTTGACCATTTTTGAACATTAATCATGGTAGCACTTTAGTATTTTGGAAAGGATCATGTAGAAACATGTAAATAGCATTAGGCACACTAATATGGTAACCTTTAAATGAAGTTAAACCTGTAATGCCAATGTTTTCTGTGTGTGTTTGGTGGTATGCAGGTGGAACAGTCTGCAGGAGGAGATCGTGGAGCGTCTGAAGAGCAGTAAGGGTCTCCTGCAGCTTTGGCAGAGCTATAAGGACCTTTACGGACAGAGTGACTCCAGCGTCCAGACACTCGAGGAGAGAGCAAACCAGATGCTGAAGACGGCCAGCCACAAAGACATCACTGAGGAGGAAGTGTCCACCTGGATTCAAGACTGTGCTGTGAGTTGAAACTCAGATTGCCTGTCTGTGTGTGCATGTAAATATGAGTATGTGGTTACACTTTACAATAAGGTTGAACTAAGATGGAACAATACTTCAACATAAACATATACACATTTACTACAACATTTTTAAGACCAAGGCCTGGTTTCACAGACAGGGCTCAGATAAAGCCTTAGTTCAACACATCTATAAAAGTAGGTTTTACAAACGTGTCTTCAGAAAACAAAAAATGGTCTACTTCTTGAGACAAAACAATGGCACTGACATATTAGAATGTATGCTAGTCCAAACTGCTTTCAGTTTATTCATCTTAAACATACATTTTAGTCTGGGACCTAGGATATAATTGGATTTCTTAGCTCTAAATCAATTCAGAAATGTTCTTTAAAGTGTGTACTAATCTAGTGCACTAATCATGAATTCTGAACAGCAACTACTCCTGTAAAGTTTGATGTTTTATGTTCACCCTGATTAAGAATGTAGAATCATTTTCCCCCCATGTCCCCTCAGGAGCTGCTGCGCTCTCAGGCTCCCATCCAGGCGTCTCTGCAGGTTTTATTGGAGCTGGGAGCGCAGCTCAAACAGCAGGTGGACACATCGGCCGTGGCCTCCATCCAGTCTGACCACCTGTCCCTCACCCAACGCCTCAGTGCCGTGGAGCAGAGCCTGAGCAGACAGCAGGTGGCGCTCCAGGTGAGTGGAGAGGATCACCGATACCAGCAGGACGACTTCAGTGCCGTATGAGAGTGTTTTAGTGTCCGGTACTGAGGGTTTCTGTTGCTTTTTCTCCCCAGGTTGGAGTTCGGGACTATGAGACGTTTAACGAACAGTTGCACTCTCTGTCCCGCTGGATCGTGGAAGCTGAGGAGGTTCTGAAAGGCCAGGATCCCAACGGTTCCTCTGACCTGTCACTGATCTGGAACCGCATGGAGGAACTGAAGGTATGCAAGCCAGAATGGATATAATATAATAACATAAATATGAAGTGTAGCCTACATAATAATTTAAACATAGCAAATGAGGTGTACAAAGAAATTGAATTAAAGAATTAAATTACGCAATATTTCCTCAAAAAACACCTTTGAAATAACAGAAAATCTAAAAATGGAAAGTGTGTAATCTCTTACACACTTTTTTTTTTGTGTGTGTGCAGAAACAAATGCTGAAGTTCAGCAGTATGTCTCCTGATGTGGAGAGGCTGAGTGAACTGGGTTACAGACTCCCTCTCAATGACTCTGAGATCAAACGCATGCAGAACCTCAACAGAAGCTGGTCTACCACCTCAGCTCAGACCACTGAGAGGTTCAGGTGAGCTCCAGCGCTTCCTCCTCATAACCCATTCTTAACCCTAGAAATCTATAAATATAAAGTGTTAAAAAATAGTCCGAAAAATATGTTTTAAATGAAATTTAAACAATTTATTGAACCTTTAGACAAGCTCTAAAATAATCGTACTCAATCAGGTGAAAATTATGCAATTTGATGCAGTTACTGATATTTATAGGATCAAATGAAATTTGATCAGATGAAATTCTGATAACTTGTAATGTAAATCAGTGACATCTTTATAACAGTATAGACCTTATTCAGAGCAGCGCCATGACCGGTATGAAAGTGAGGCTGTGAGGGATAGACTTACCGTGTTTCCAATGGCATCCGCTGTAGAAAGCTGAATAAAGCTCCTAGATTAATTACAATTTTCCACAGCTTACATTGTCGGGAGTTTTTTGTCAACTGACATTTCTTAGTAAGATATTTTTCCAGTGTTTCATGAGCAGAACAAAACTAAAACACTTTAAATAACCATACAGCCCATTGAAGAGATGCGTGTCTATCCCTCACAGCCTCGCTTTCATTCTCATTAAAAATCAAAGATGGCGCTGCCGTGAATAAGGCGTATAGCATACTACTAAAAAAAAATGTGTTAAATATGATGCAGGCTTTATAGGTTTAAATCCCCCTCTTTATGGGAATATACACTCACCTAAAGGATTATTAGGAAAACCTGTTCAATTTCTCATTAATGCAATTGATGCGGCAGTCCGGTGGGCGAAAATGCCTTGTTGATGCTAGAGGTCAGAGGAGAATGGGCCGACTGATTCAAGCTGATAGAAGAGCAACTTTGACTGAAATAACCACTCGTTACAACCGAGGTATGCAGCAAAGCATTTGTGAAGCCACAACACGCACAACCTTGAGGCGGATGGGCTACAACAGCAGAAGACCCCACCGGGTACCACTCATCTCCACTACAAATAGGAAAAAGAGGCTACAATTTGCAAGAGCTCACCAAAATTGGACAGTTGAAGATTGGAAAAATATTGCCTGGTCTGATGAGTCTCGATTTCTGTTGAGACATTCAGTCAGAATTTGGCGTAAACAGAATGAGAACATGGATCCATCATGTCTTGTTACCACTGTGCAGGCTGCTGGTGGTGGTGTAATGGTGTGGGGGATGTTTTCTTGGCACACTTTAGGCCCCTTAGTTATTAATAATCCTTTAGGTGAATGTACAATATGTTATAGAAGATAATGTCAATTTTCTGTTGACCTTCTAAAGTATGTCAATTCTCTTCTCAGTAAACTTCAGGCCCTCATACTACAACAGCAGACATTTCTGGAGAAGTGTGAGACGTGGATGGAGTTCCTGGAGCAGACGGAGGAGAAACTTACCGTGGAGATTTCTGGAAACTTCCAGAGCCTGATGGAGCAACAGCGAGCTCATGAGGTGAGCTGTGAACTGAGACGTGCATTGTTTCAAATCTTGTCTAGATACTAATAAAGGGCCGATATGAATAAACAAAGCTGTGTCTGTTTGTTATAGCTGTTTCAGGCAGAGATGTTCAGCAGACAACAGATCCTTCACTCCATCATTAGCGATGGACAGCGAATGCTGGAGCAGGGACAGGTGGACGACAGGTGAGGGACATCATCATCCGAAATATGCTTATGCAAGATGTTAGCGTACTTCATTTGAAACTCACGGTGAGCGTATTTTCAGAGATGAGTTCAAGCTGAAGCTGGCTCTGCTCAGTAACCAGTGGCAGGGGGTGGTGAGACGCGCACAGCAGCGACGGGGCATCATAGACAGTCTCCTGCGTCAGTGGCAGCGCTACAGGGAGATGGGGGAGAAGCTTCGGAAGTGGTTGGTGGAAGTGTCCCATCAGGCCGTGACCTTGCAGGCGGGTGCACCTGTCCCACTACAGCAGGCACGAGCCATGCTGGACGCAGTTCAGGTAAATATCCTTTGACCTCTGAGAACCACATAAGTCTCTTTCGCACCACGCAACTAACACTTTTTATATAAATAAATAAATAAGTCGGCGCCCCGACATATAGCGCAGTTGCGCTTCGGGCGATTCCCGGCTCGTGGACCTTTCCTGATCCCGTCCTTCTCTCTCTCTCTCTCTCTCTCTCTCTCTCTCTCTCTCTCCAACTTCGTTTCCTGTCAACTAACTGTCCTATCATAATAAAAAAATATATATTAAAATATATAAAATTATATATATAAAAATGATTACAGATAATAATAAATATATAAATAATAATAATTTTATATACTAACATATACAACTATTTTTCCTTGAAAAAAAAAAAACCTTGGTAATGAAAATAATTACAACGTTATTTTGTTATCATTGAGATGTTATAGTTTTTATTAATATTTTAAATATTTTAAACTTTTTTATTCTTATAGTTTCCATTTTAAACTCTATATAGTTTTTATTAATTTTTATTTAATTAAAATTTTTTATCAAATTAAACTACATAAATATCAGCTAGTTGCAAAGGCAGCATTTTCAAGTATATATATATATATATATATATATATATATAAACATTTTTTTATACATAAACATAAATTTAACAAATTATTATGTGTACGCCAACTGAAGAGCATTTTATTTTAATTAATATTTATAATATTTCAAATAACAATTTTTGAAAAAAAAAAAAGGGTGTTTGCTTTGGTTTTACTTAACTATTATAACCCTGCTGCCTATTTATCATCACAGTTTTATAAATTATGTTGAATTAATTGAATTACTGGTATATGAGTGCCAAAATTCAACATAATTTATGAAAATGTGAATGGCAAGATGAATAACGAATCTGCCATCATCAAATTCGCCTTTCAGAACCACAAACCGTTGGTGACCATACACCTCCATTATATGACTGATAGACAAGAACGGTTTGACCTAAAAATATCAAAATTGAAATCACTGAGGAAATAAAGACACCTACATCTTGGATGCCCTTGAGGTAAGCTAAAACATACCAAAAATTAATTTCAAAGTAAACTATCCCTTATAAGCTTATCTATTAACTTATCTATTAACTGGGGTGATATTAAATCATGAATATCAAAACTGATATGTCGGGACAAAATCTCGACTTGGACTTGCTTCCTCAAAGACTCGGACTCGACCCTGCAAAGACTCGGTCTTGACTCGGACTCGGCATAGGCGGTCTCGTCCCCATCACTAACTAATAGTATCTCAATGATGCTAAAATAACGCATTGATGTAATTATATCTGCAAATGAGCTGCGCGAACAGGCCATCCCTTCCACACATACCTTTGTTTGAGGATGAGTATCGCGCTCCTAAATCATAAAGAGATATTTGTGGCCATTCTGTAAGCGAAATTGAATGGCTTTGAATCACTTTGCGCTTGAATTAAAAATAATCTGCAATTTATTAAGAGGGATGAGTTTAGAACTGTCTGAAGGAGGGTTTTGTGATGGCTGATGCTCTTGTTCTGCAGCTGAGAGAGAAGGTTCTGCTGAGACAGCAGGGCAGTTATATCCTGACGGTGGAGGCAGGACGACAGCTGCTTCTGTCTGCTGACTCACGGGCCGAAGCGGCTCTACAGGACGAGCTGCTCAACATACAGGAACGCTGGAGACACGCCAACATCTGCCTGGAGGAGCAGAAGAAAGAGCTGGCCGTCCTGCTCAGGGTAGATAAGGCTCTTTATGTCACTGCAACACCTGTTGACTTCATTTGCAGTCATTATTGTCTGGATCATTTTAGTGATTTTTTTTTTTCTTTTTAAAAGATTCTTCAAAAATGATATTAATTTTAGTCATCCATGCTACGATCATGGAACACCTACAAAATATAGGGGTATTTTTAAATTGCAATTTCCAAGTCTGGAAATAAAATCCTAAAAAAATATCTTTTCTAATAGTAAAAATAGTCCAATTATCAGTAATGGAAAATTATAATTATTTGTCATAGTCATAATTTATTGGTCATAAAAACCATGAATATTACCCAATAGTGTTCCTTGTATTGTTGTTAGTGCCTAAGTTAATATAACTATTTTATATTTAGTAACTATATAAGTATTATGATAACACTTTACAATAAGGTTCATTAGTTAATCTTTGTTAATGTTAATTTCAACATTTACTAATACTTGATTAAAATCTTGTTAACATTAGTTAATGCACTGTGAACTAACATGAACAAACAATGAACGGCTGGATTTGTATTAACTAACGGTAACAAAGATTAACAAAAACAGTAACAAATGTATTGCTCATGGTTAGTTCATGTTAGATAATACATTAACTAATGTTTAATAAATGAACCTTATTGTAAAGTGTTACCAATATTATACATTATACTATAAATAAAAATGTAAATATAAAGATTAGTTAAATAATAACAATAACAATAATAATCATATTTCTACTAATAATAACATATTAAGATAATATTTAAAAAGTACTGTATTTCACTATGATTAGTTAAATAAAAAATATATAAATATGTGTGTTTTTAGTTTATTGTAAAGATAATTGTGATGTTTGATGCTGTCACACTAATTTAGTCAAATATTGCTTTCTTAAAGTTTATATCATACACCTTTAAAGGAGTAGTTCACTTTTAAAAAAACTTTTGCTGATAATTTACTCACCCCGTGTCATCCAAGATCCATGTCTTTCTTTCTTCAGTCGAAAAAAAATTAAGGTTTTTGGTGAAAATATTCCAGGATTTTTAAGGGTCTTATCAAGCGAAACGATCGCTCATTTAATAAAAAAAATAACAAAGTTTAAGTTTTATAAGTTCAAATGCTCGCCTTGCTCTGTTCTGTGATGAGCGTTCGTGACTCTCCTGTTCGAACTCGTTTATGAAAATGAACAAATCTTTTTTCGTGTCATTTGGTTCATTCAATGAGCGAAATGAACGAGTTGACTCGGGAAAAGATTCGTTCATTTTGATGAACAAGTTCGAATAGGAGAGTCACAAACACGCATCACAGAACACAGAAAGACGAGTGTTATAAAAGTGTTATACGAGCTTATAAAACTTTTAACTTTTTTTAAATGAGCGATCGTTTCGTTTGATAAGACCCTTATTCATCGTCTGGAATCGTTTAAAGCCCTTTGAACAGTTTGCACTGAAACCGTCTTTTGGACCTTGAACCGTTTGGTTCCCATTGAAGTCCATTATATGGAGAAAAATGCTGGAATGTTTTCATCAAAAACATTAATTTCTTTTCGACTGAAGAAAGAAAGACATGGACATCTTGGATGACATGGGGGCGAGTAAATTATCAGCAAAAGTTTTTTTCAAAAGTGAACTACTCCTTTAATTTTGCTTTCAAACTAATTTTATTTATTCAATGTTGCACCAAACACTTGAGTTTGACCAAACCATTACATAGGATCGGCTCACAAGAATGATTTAATTTGTAGATCAGACGTCACTACATTAGTTTTGTGATATAGGTACCCAGAAAGCATTTTTTGACTGGATTCAAACTCTGTGTAGGATTGGGAGAGATGTGAAAAAGGTATCGGAGGATCTCTGGAGAAACTGAGAGCATTTAAACGACAGCTCTCCCAGACGCTCCCCGATCGCCACGAGGAGCTGCAGTCTGAACAACTGCGCTGCAAGGTATGCAAAGTTCAGATTCATGTGCAACTGAAGAACAATGAAATAGGGGGGGAATTAACTTTACATTCCTGTCAGGATCTGGAGAGCAAGTTTGACGGCTGGAAGGAGGATTTGACCCATCTGACTGTGTTGAGAGAGTCTCTGTGCAGTTACATCAGTCCAGAGGATCTGCGTGTGCTGCAGGAACGTACTGAACTCCTGCACCGGCAGTGGGAGGAGATCTGTCACCAGGTACACAGGCCTTTAGATGGTGCTGTTTTACTACATATGAACATTATTGTGTGTGCAGCAGATTTTAAAATCACGAAGGGCAACTCTCCTAGACATCACAGGCCTATCTGTTCCATAGGAAGCTCATTGGGTTTTAAAACGCATCCACAGATAGTCTTCACAAACACATTCTTATAATTCAATATTGGGCAATATTAGCTTTAGTCAAATTTCCTTATTTTCCAATATATATATTATTTTTGTTAGTAGAGAGTAATGCAAAGCACCAAGCACCAGCATTTGGCTGAAAATGAAACTCGAATGCAAAGCAAGTATGATTTATTTTTGCATGTTCTTTGTGGCATCCGGTGCGTGAGCTGAGACACCACAGGATGTGAAAATACGCTTCATATCTCAGTCGACAGCTTTAACTGTAGATTCAGACAGACCGTCAGAAACTCTTCTCTCATGCTGTATTGTTTTAATGATGCTCTAGTCTGATATTTTCTTTAAAGTAGTTTTGGGCGTGTGTAACGTTGCGTTTATTTACACTTTACTTTAGTTTTGCACATTATGAAGATACAGAAAGACGATGTGGCTAAATATTTGGTTGATTTAAACCTAAATTACGTGTAAATGCTCAGACATATTTGTAATCACTGAAGGCCTATGTTTTTGCGTATTTGTCTGCGCAGTTGTGTCTGCGCAGACAGCAGGTGAGTGAGAAGCTGAATGAATGGGCCATCTTCAATGATAAATACAAGGAGCTGTGTGAATGGCTGACACAAATGGAAAGCAAAGTATCCCAGAATGGAGACGTGAGCATCGAAGAGATGATTGAGAAACTACGAAAGGTAACGGTTTAATCAAATCTTTGCCTTCGTTATGCTCATCACTAAAAATGTTTTAATTATGTATAAGTAATTATATTATGTATCATTATATAATATCTTGTTGTTTATTTATTATATATTATACATTATTTTTTTCATATTACAGTTTCATATTATATATACAATTTGTTAAATTGCATAATAATGCATAATCAAATATATATATATATATATATATGTGTGTGTGTGTGTGTTTTGCTACATAGTTGCTTAAGAAATGAAAAGCTACACACTCCATCATTTAGGGTTAGAAGAGCTGTTGCCAAACATATAACAAGCTTGAAACCGAATAATCACTGCAACAAGACTATTAAAGGAGTAGTTCACTTGAAAAAAAACTTTTGCTGATAATTTACTCACCCCCATGTCATCCACATTGACATGGATTGACATATCGACATATTGACAGGATTTTTCTCCATATAATGGACTTCAATGGGAACCAAACGGTTCAAGGTCCAAATAAGAGTTTCAGTGCAGCTTCAAAGGGCTTTAAACGACACCAGACGATGAATAAGGGTCTTATCTAGCGAAACTTCGTTTCAAAAATTAAATGAACGAAATGACTTGAAAAAAGATTCGTTCATTTTGATGAACAAGTTCGAACAGGAGAGTCGTGAACGCGCATCACAGAACAGAGCAAGGCGAGCATTTGTGCTTATAAAATGTAAACTTTTTTATTTATTTTTGAAATGACCGATCGTTTCGCTTGATAAGACCCTTATTCATCGACTGGTGTCGTTTAAAGACTTTTGAAGCTGCACTGAAACTCTCATTTTCACCTGGAACCGTTTGGTTCCCAATGAAGTCCATTATATGGAGAAAATCCTGGAATGTTTTCATCAAAAAAACTTAATTTCTTTTCAACTGAAGAAAGAAAGACATGGACATCTTGGATGACATGGGGGTGAGTAAATTATCAGCAAAAGTGTTTTTAAAAGTGAACTACTCCTTTAAGCATTTACAAATCTAAACAGTGACTTTTTCTTTTGACCAGGCAGTGTATATTTGATTTTATAAGTTGTTTGAAATGATAATAATTTCATTTTACTTTATTTTTTTTTAAGAAAGTTAGGGTTGCCTAATACTCAATATTGTATTTACAACAAAGTAGCTCATATGATGTGTTTTGGAGGAAACTCCATTGCAACCCCTTTATTGTATGAGGTGTTGGTAACAGCATAACGATAGCCACTCCTTCAAAAGCAACTAGAATTTAACAGAATTTTATAACTATAGTAACTTTAAAAATGCTTGTCCATGTCTCTGTCTAACTGCAGCGCTGTGTCTCTGTCTCTCAGGACTATCAGGAGGAGGTGGCGGTGGCTCAGGAGAATAAACATGAGCTCACGCAGCTGGGTGAACGTTTAGCTCGGGCCAGTCACGAGAGCAAAGCCTCTGACATAGAACACAAACTCGGTAAAGTCAGCGAACGCTGGCAGCACCTGGTGGACCTCATAGGGGCCAGGTAACACACACCGCATTGGGATTATCCTCACTATTTTTCACAATATTTACTCAATGTTGGAGAGCACCTATCCGGTCACGTTGAGCCATGGTGCTCAGGTTTAAATCAGCATTGTGTGCGATTAACTGTACATTCCCTCTACCTGCCTCATAAGTCTCCTGTTTTTTAATGATATTTAATATACGTTTTAATATTAAACGATTTTTAGTTTAAAGTAGTATGCTGTGCATAGATGTTGAGAACATGTCTTTGTCTGTACAGAGCGAAGAAGCTACGGGAGACTTTGGTGGCCATTCAGCAGTTGGATAAGAACATGAATAGTCTGCGCACGTGGCTCGCCCACATTGAGACCGAACTGTCCCGTCCCATCGTGTACGACACCTGCGACTACCAGGAGATCCAGAGGAAACTGGATCTGCAGCAGGTACAAAAACACATCATTTATATTTGAAGAGTTCAGATGCAAAAGCCTCTAAATGCCATTTGAAATTTTCTTCTTTAATGATGATTTTTATCAAACTTGTATATTTAAGTTCAGTAATTTCACTTAAATGGTAATGATAATTACCTATTAATTGTTATTTAAGTGAAATTACTGAACTTAAATATACAAGTTTGATAAAAATCATCATTAAAGAAGAAAATTTCAAATGGCATTTAGAGGCTTTTGCATCTGAACTCTTCATTTATTCATTTAGCTGACGCTTTTTATCTAAAGCGGCTTACAATTGCTATATATGTCAGCGGTCGCACGCCTTTGGATCAACTAGGGGTTAAGTGTCTTGCTCAGGGACACATTGGTGTCTCACAGTGGATTGGAACCTGGGTCTCTCACACCAAAGGCATGTGTCTTATCCACTGCGCCATCACCACCGCATGATGCATTCAAAACTAAACCGGTCAAGATTATGCGCTTACTTCGGATAAAACATTGTTTTTGTTGTTCACCCAGGAGCTGCAGAGAGACATCGAGAAGCACAGCACAGGGGTGGCGTCTGTGCTGAACCTGTGTGAGGTGTTGCTGCACGACTGTGATGCCTGTGCCACGGATGCCGAGTGTGACTCCATCCAGCAGGCCACACGTAACCTGGACCGGCGCTGGAGGAGCATCTGTGCCATGTCCATGGAGAGGAGACTCAAGTATGACCAGCTGATGAAGCTTATACACATATCCTGCATCCCAATTCGCATAATATCAGTCCTAAATAGTATTAGAAATTAGTATTAGTGTCCCAAATCGCAGTATGCTGAAATGACTGTTCCAAAGATACCCGGAATGGTCTACTTTTCCCAGCTAGAATCTGAAGTGCAGATCTGTGCTCGCTCTAATGGCTAATATTGCCCACAACCCATTGATTGTCGGACGAGGATTTGATTAGAACTACAAACACGGATGGCAAAAAAACTACAAATATGGTGGATGTGCAAGTCCAACGGTTAAGTAGAGAGGTTTAGATAATGGGGTTTGATATAACCTGATGAAAAGATATTTATTCAATGTTATCCACATTATCTTAAATCTTAAACAGCATTGTGAACTTTTGTAAAAATACTTTTGGTCATTAATGGCTCTTTCAGACTGCACGATTTTCAAAGTAGTCAGGTCGCTGCTCTTTTCACACTGCGTGACTATCTTGGCCAGCATTCAGTCGCTGCTGTGTTCACACTGGACGATGGATCGGCGACAGAAGGTTTCACACTGCATGACTTTAGAAAAATCGCCGACAGACTCTGTCTAGCACGCTGCACGCAAACTACATTTCACAACAAACACGCGTGAGATATGAAAAGGAAACAACGCGCGACACCACACGTGCAAGACCGGAGTTCTCACGTGAGACTTTTTTTTTCGACCCGGTTGTGGTACAGCTGGTGAAACAGACACGAGTGCTCCTGCCAAATTTCTACTAATTTTTCTTCCATTTATTGTGTCCAAATAGACCGAGAAGAAGCTTTTTTTCCTGAAACAATGCCATATCATGTTGATATGTGATCTATAACTCCTCCCCGAACTCCCTGCTGCTCTGTATCTTGCTCTCTCACTGGCTGCCGGTGATCGCCGATGTAGTTTTCAGTCAAAACACTTTTCACACAGCAGGATTTTGAATCGCCGACAGGTCCAGATATTTAGCATGCCAAATATCTCACGGGCGTCGGCGACTCGTCGGTGATTCTCTCAGTTCGCGTCTTTGTTCATTCACACTGCGTGATTGTCACTCGCGTGAACGAGCGCCGATTTGCCTGTGATTTCGGGCATTTGTCGGCGATTTCTCAAAACCTGTCGGCGAGCCAAAATCGTGGCTAAAATCATGCAGTCTGAACTCGGCATAACTTGTAGCAATCAATCGGGTCATGGGGTCTATATGACCCCTATCGACTTTTCCTTAAAAAAAAAAGGTTCCCTTCATCTCAGTGGAATAAGATTTTGTTACTTTTCATGCATCGTCTATCTATACACACAGAAAAAACTGGGCTTGATTCGGTTGTTCTGAAGGTATGTAAAAAAAAAAAAAAAAGTACACTTCTGGTCTTCGGGGTCAGTATGACCCCACATTGAAATGAATGGGAAATGTGAAAAAAAACCGGCAAAAATCTGCAAATTTTTACACAGAAATGAAGGCCTAGTACTAGAGCATAAATGCAATGTATCATAAAAAAATAACATTTCATATGCTAATGCTAAAGCTAATGGTGTAGTTGAAGAATTGTGTGGTATATGGATACAAAAGTACTTTATATCTCCAAAAACACAGCATTAATGAATTGTACAATTGCTCAGTCAATTGTTGGGGTCTTATAGACCCCAAAGCCCAGAAGTGTAAACTGGAAACGAAGACCATTTGAAGGTTAAATGCATCGATATGCAAACACGACGAGCGTTCTCCACATGAAAGACCCATGAGTGGGAGATCAACATGCTTCTACATTTCTCTCCGAAACATTGGGAAATTAAAAAGTAATTGCTCACCCTCATGTTGTTCCAACCCCGTAACACTTTCGTTCATCTTCAGAACACAAATTAAGATATTTTTGATTAAATCTGAGAGCTGGATCACTCCTCCATAGGCTTCTAAAGGGATTGAAACTTGCCGGCCCAGAAAAATTATTGAAGACATCAGTAAAATAGTCTGAGTGACTACAGTGGCTCAATCCTAAGTTTATCAAGTGACGAGAGTACTTTTTGTGTGCAAAAAAAAAACAAATAAACAAACAAAAATAACGACTCTATTCAACTATTCATTTCCTTCTCTGTGGGCTTCGAGTTAGTTCACGTAGTGAAACTCTTCTGGGTTGTACGTCACACGTAGGCTTACTATTGGCCGACGCTGGTCGTGTGTGTGACGCGTATAAATATAAATATATGTTATGTATCTGCTAAATGACAATTAGCCTAAACCTTGATCATGCTCTTCTGAAAGGATTGAGGAGACATGGCGTCTCTGGCAGAAGTTTCTCGATGACTTCTCTCATTTCGAGGAGTGGCTCATGATGTCGGAGAAGACAGCCGCACTGCCAAACTCTTCAGGTGTCCTTTACACTGTGGCCAAAGAGGAGCTCAAGAAATTTGAGGTGAGATTCATCCAGACTGAATGAATGCAGTATTAGTGAACAGATTTATGATATTAACACTCATTTATGTGCTTTCACAGACATTCCAGCGGCAAGTGCATGAAGGTTTGACGCAGCTGGAGCTGATCAATAAACAGTATCAGCGACTGGCGCGTGAGAATCGCACTGACGCGTCCTGTAGTCTGCGAGAAATGGCCCACGATGCCAACCAGCGCTGGGATAACCTACAGAGAAGAGTGCTCTCGGTCCTACGCAGGTTAAAGGTACCGAGACATTTGATACAAATATAAATCAACAAATATAAACGTCTTTTGTTTTCATTCTAATAAAACATTTCATTCATGCCTATTAACTGCTCATTGAAATTAGTTCAATTGAAGTTAATTTATCAAATGCATAACTGTAACCATTTTTTGAACTGAAACTATGAACAAATGAAAGCTAAGCTTTAATAGTTAATTATTTTGTATTGAAATATACAACAGCTAAAGAGAAAAAAATTACCATGATGATACATATATAAGGTGGATTATTATTTAAAACTTTTAAATATTTGTGTAGTAATACAACTATTATTATTTTTAAAATATTATATACATAATTTTATATATAGTAATTCATATAATTATTAATAAATATATTATTTTAAACTTAATAATATATATTGTATATATATAATACTATATATTGTATATATTGTATTAATAAAACTTAACCAAAAATATTAATAAATAATATATATATATATATATATATATATATATATATTATTAATATTTTTAAATAATATATATATATATATATATTATTAATATTTTTGGTTAATTTTATATAATTATTATTAATACAATATAATATTATTTAAAGCATATTTTAAGTGATTTATTGTTAGTATTATGTTGTAAATTAACCGTGCAGTGAATTTGGGTAAATACAAGTAAGCTTTTACTCTGAATCTTTTTGATTGCGAAACATTTTTAATGTCCACCACAGCATTTTATATGTCAGAGGGAGGAGTTTGAGACGGCGCGAGACTGTATCCTGGTCTGGCTGACTGAGATGGACCTGCAATTAACCAACATTGAGCATTTCTCAGAATGTGACGTCCAGGCCAAAATCAAACAGCTAAGGGTACGTATCTGACCTTCAGACCTGCACATATTCTCCCGTGTCGTTCTCTTATGGAGGTTTTCTGCCGCATCCAGGCGTTCCAGCAGGAGATCACTCTGAACACGGGCAAGATTGACCACATATTTCAGCAGGGTGAAGCTCTTCTAGAAAAGAGCGAGCCGATAGATGCTGCTGTGATCGAGGAAGAGCTTGAAGAACTGCAGCGTTACTGCCAGGAAGTGTTTGGACGCGTGGAACGCTACTACAAGAAACTTATACGATTACCGGTACACTGAATACATCAGATGCCTTTTTTTCAGTCTCTCTTTTTACATTCATTTCATTTCCAGATTCTTCATTCATTTTATTTTATATGCATTTCTCACGTTTTATTTCATTCACTTTAAAGGGGTCATGAACTGGCTTTTTACTTTTTATTATATTGTTGTCTGAGGTCAACTTATGACGTTTCGCTTGGTTTTTGCATTCAAAAAAATCAAAATGAATAAGTAATAGGCTATTTCCTACCCTAGTTTTGAGCCTAGCTGAAAAACGCTTGGTTTTTATGGGCGTCTCGCACTGAAGACTTGGAAGTAAACGCCCACTGCTGTGAGTGGATAACAGTTTTGCATATTATAATGAGTTTCAACTCACTCGTCGATGCACTTGGGGGAAATTGTTTTGAAAATGTCCAATGTTGTAAAATGGCAACCGGAATGATTCGCCCGTACATGTTCGACCCAGAGTCCGTGTGTTGCACAATTCCTGTCAGATGAAATATAGACGGCACAGCACCGTTCTTTACTCTTAATCGGTCTGCAAATCCAGTCTTGTTTACTAAACAATCCTCAGTGAAATGAAGCGAACAGACGGACAGTGTTTTACCTCATCAGCTGGAACGTCATTAAAAATAGTTTATCCATTACATGCAGTCCTATTGGAATCCAGAGGAAGCTTATGCAGCGACTGTCTTCTTCCACAACCAGGCGCTGCACAATATTCTGTATTGCTCGGTAGCTCAATCTGGTTTGTCATCACGAGGTAGGCATCTATGTTATTTAGCTATGCGTGTAATGCGCAAATCGGTGGGCGGGGCTAAACCGGCCGTGTTGAAGTAGTCGTTGCTCTTCTTCTGTGGGGGTGGTGTTTTATCCTCCTTTGATGTCATAGTTCCCCACTTTGAAAAATGAGTCGTTTGCTGAGCCTGGCGTCAATAAAAGCTTTTATTGGACTAACAAGGACGTTTTCAGTTCTTAAACTTACAGGATATTCTTATAATATGATGACCTCTTAGATGTCAAAAGCTCAAGGAAGATTTGATTTCTCATTTCATCACCCCTTTAATAAATGTGGTCAATGTTTAGTCAAAGTTTCAGTCACCAATGATCATAACTTCTATATCCAGCTCACAGACGATGAACATGACGTCTCGTACTCGGACCGGGAGTTTGACCTGGACGAGCCTGGGGACGTGTCCAGCTTTCCGTGGAGCGAGCGCCTGGGTGACGGTTTTCTGTCCCCTCTGCCCTCCTCCAGTCGGTCTGCGTCGCTGGCAGCTCCTCTACGGGCCGAACGGTCGGGTCGAGACACTCCGGCCAGCGTGGACTCCATCCCTCTGGAGTGGGACCATGATTATGACCTGAGCCGGGGTTTGGAGAGCGCCAGCAGAGCCTTGTCCTCCGAACCAGGAGATCAAGGAGAGGATGGATACCTGCAGGGCTCAGCTTCTGCGCTCTCAGGTCAGTGTGGGCTCTTTAGTCCAATAAACACATGAGAGAGAATGAGTAAGGGATAATGTACATCCATCAGGCAGAGCTGCACATTTAAAGGGATAGTTCACTTTGAAATTAATTTTTGGTATGTTTTAGCTTACCTCAAGGGCATCCAAGATGTAGGTGTCTTTGTTACCACAGTAGTTTACATTTTGATATTTTTAGGTCAAACTATTCTTGTCTGTCAGTCATATAATGGAGGTCTATGGTCACCACCTCAAAGAGCATGCACAGAGAAGTCCAAATTAAACATGATTTAATGACTCGTAAATATAAGTACACATTGATGGCCTAAGACACGAAACGAGCAGTTTGTGTGAGAAAACAAAGAGTATTTATATCGTTTTTACCTCATGTAACCACAGCCACGTCTAAGTACTCAGAAGATCTAAACATATTTAGATATACAGGAAATTGCAATTCCGGCGCTTGCGCAGACCGAAGCGCCCGTGCCCTCAGAGTTACTTGGACGTGGCTGTGGTTACAAGACGTAAAAACGATATAAATACTCTTTGTTTTCTCACACAAACCGCTCGTTTCGTGTCTTAGGCCATCAATGTGTACTTATATTTACGAGTCATTAAATCATGTTTAATTTGGCCTTCTCTGTGCATGCTCTTTGAGGTGGTGACCATAGACCTGCATTATATGACTGATAGACACGAACGGTTTGACCTAAAAATATCAAAATTGAAACTACTGTGGAAACAAAGACACCTACTGGATGCCCTTGAGGTAAGCTAAAATATTTCAAAAATTAATTTCAAAGTGAACTATCCCTTTAATCATTAAAAATCACACAATCACATTCTGAAATGACATCGCAGGCTTCCTCCGAGTCCACACTTTGGTGGCTTAACGTCGCTTTGAATGCTGTGACTGACCAATCAGAATCAAGTATTTCAGTGAGCCAAGTAATAAGAGAATATAAATGAATCCTGAGATGAGAACGTTTATTTAGTGTGGTTCAGCATTCATTCATGTGTTGCACTGTATGCGTGATGTGTTTCTTTCAGATGTAGTGATTCCAGAGAGTCCCGAGGCATTTCTAAAACTTACTGAGCAAACTCTGAGGTCCAGCGCTGGTAGGCAACAGCAGTCACAGAAGTCTGGGACTCACTCACTAGTCTGTTGCCTGATCTTTAGTTTCTACTCACAAGCCGAATCAAAGCACAGAGCCTCGTGCTGCGACCACCGGCTGCATTTTCTAACCCTTGTCTATTGATTTGTGTTTTCGCACAGTATAATCAGTTTTCCAGTGTTTGCATGTAGTGTCACATGTTGATGGACACTGAGTTCACTCTGGTGTTTGTCCTTGGTTTCTAATGCTTTTGGATTTCCAAATCAACAGCATTACTCACAGTATTTTACAATCAGAGCAGACTGTGATTTACAAAAACGATTGTTTGTCATCTAATCTAAAATCAATTGTTTACTCTTTGAGTATTAGTGGTCGACTGAACTGGGTTTTTTTTTAATGGTCAATGCCAATATCTAGAGGTCACAAGGTTCAAAACGAGAGAAAATTTTATTTGTGGATTTATTTATTTGTTTTTTACTTAATTTCAACATTATTTTCATGACGATAAAACACATCACATTACTGTTAAAATGCATATTTTTTTTGTAATTAGATTCCCATTATTATTTTTCTAACTGTATTACACTAAATACAGTAATACAAGGAATTTCATTTAAATTATTGTTCTTTTAATATTATATAAACATTTTGAATGAGCTTTTTTGTTTTCATTTTAGTAGGTTAAGTTGTAGTCATTTTGTTGCATTTTTGTAATTTGTATTCGCTTGTTTTATATTTCTCTTTAACTTTAGTTCATTTTCATTTTAGTTTTTCATTTTATTTTTGTTTTATTGTATTACTTTCAACTGATTTTATTTTAGTTAGTTGCCAAGGCATCGTTTTTTAGTTTAAGTTTTTCTAAGATTTATATTTGATTTTATTTCAGTTTTATTTACTTTTAGTTACTACTTACCAATAACAACACTAGTTTAAATATGAGATTTATAAATACTACACAATTTAAATAATGTTACTTTGCATTACAGTAATAATAAGAATGGATATATTTTATTACGCAAATGACAATTCTGTGGCACAATGTGTTTAACTGCCTTGAAAATATCATCTTAAGCTTGATGTCGACAGGTGCCTAATGTCACCCGATCAGTAGGTTCATAACTATCAAATCTCCATTATGCCAAGCCGTCATTGTAAGTGAGAAAATATTTCTTAATTGACTTCCCAGATAAAATAATGCTGAACAAACAAACAAACATGCAATATTATATTAATATTGAAGAGCAGTATTCACTCTGATTGTAAACTGCTTTGACTAATGATCAATTTGATTAGAAGCTCCTAGTGTGTTTGACTAATGAGAAAGCAATGTTGTGATGTCTTGTCTCTTGATCATGCACTGCATCAGGCCTGAGAACGACAACACACTTCCACTGTGCAGTTCAATGTGACTTCTTGTTGTTCCTGCACTAATATAAGTGTTTTGGTGTTCCTCGACAGGTGACACTGGCTCGCTGGAGACTCACATCAGACAACTGGATAAAGCTCTTAACACCAGCTGCTTCCATCTGCAGCAGACGGAGAACATCATACGCAGCCGAACCCCCACAGGCCCGGAGCTGGATGCCACATACATGGGTTATGTGAGTGAAACTCATGTCACTGTAATAAAAATCAAAAATCATGTAGAAATCATTTGCAAGATGAATATAATGACTTGTTTGTCACATTTTATCTTCTCAGATGCGTCTTCTTGAAGAATGTCGTGGCAGTATAGATGCAGTGAAGCGAGTGGGGTTTGAGCTGAAAGAGGAGGATGACAAGACATCAGGCTTTGTCAACCCCAATAGCTCCGAGTCCCAAACCTCAGGTGCAAAACCATATCATGCAACTTCTCATTTAAAAACAAATGCTAGTATCCTATATAGGCATATAGGCAATAGAGCAGAGGGAAAAAGGCAAAATATGTCATTATAAATGATAAGGGAATAATGAGGCTGGAACCGGCGAAATCCTTTCCTTGTGGGTCAAAATGACCTGAAGCCCTAAAACTATACTTATTTTTTATTTATTTATTTTTTAAGGAAAGAAAGATTATTTTATTTCATTTTGATAATATTTTTTTCTATTTTTTAATGCATTTTTTTTGGAGATTTTTTGGTTTTATTTGATTTAATCAATAAATAAATAAATAGTAATTGAGTAATGTAAGCACATTCCTCACATTTACTTAACTTAAATTCAAAATAACTCATAATTTCATGCATAAACCTTTAAATTCAGCTAAAAATATCTTACAATGGGTGTCTTTGCTGACCTGTGGATTTATATATATATATATATATATATATATAACATGATATTTCATGACTCTAGCCAATAGATGGCCTTAGTATTATAGCTCTATCTAGTTGGAGCAAATGAGCTGTTCCGCTGGGTCCTAAAGTCGGTTTCTCTTCATTATGCGTTCAGATACACACGTAGACATTATAAAAAAAAATTTTGGAAAAGGTTTACCATTTTAAGTTTGCATTTTGAGCATTTTTAGGTTTTTGTACATGTACTGAAGCATTTCTCGCATTCTATTCATTCCTATTGGGGTTGAGGGAAGGATTTGCTAATTTTTTAAATTTCAACCACAAAACACTCCTCGAATCCATAAAAAATTTTTTTGCGTGTGTGTATTTGTGGTTTAAGTGTGACAAATGTCCCAGGGTCTTGGTCCCCGATAAACACTCAACTTTTAAATAAAATTTCAAAAATATTTTCCAGGTCAAAATGACCCGAGGGAAGGATAAAGTCCAAATAAATGTTTGGATTTTGATTTCCATTTGTCTGATGCATCATGCAATGTATTAATGTTTGCTAGTGTTATTAAATATTATTGTTACTGTAAAGTGTAACCCAGATGGCAGAGCTCTGAACAGATGTTGTGTTGTGCAGGTGTGATCGAGCGCTGGGAGCTGCTGCAGGCTCAGGCTCTCAGTAAAGAGATGCGCATGAAGCAGAACATGCAGCAGTGGCAGCAGTTCAACACAGATCTCAACAGCGTCTGCCGATGGATGGACCAGACAGAAGAAGAGCTGGAGCAGCAGCGGGGACTGGACCTCAGCACCGACATACACTCCATCGAGATACGCATCAAGAAACTCAAGGTCAGACACTCACAGACACAGTAATTGTTGTTCCTAACGAAAACTATTATTTTAAAGAACGGTAAATGAAATAAAACTGAAATAAGATATAAATATATTAGATGAAAAACTAACTGAAAAACATTGGTAACACTTTACAATAAGATTTGCTTTGTTAACAGGAGTTAACTACATTAGTGAACAATGAACAATACTATAAATGTTTAAGAAGTTGTATTTAAGTAATGCTGCAAAAATATATTCATTTGTTTGTTCATTTTAGTTTATCGCATTAATTAATGTTAACAAATAAGACCTTATTATAACGTGTTACCAATACTTTTAAGTACTAAAATTTCTAAAACTAAAAAAAAAAAATTATATAGAAATATAGACACGTAACCGTGTAAAGCCTGACAAATTAAATTGTTAAAATTTTTTATTTATTTTTTTAATTTTATTTTAAAATTTAGTTTATTTAATAAGGAGGAGGATTAGGGCCAAGCAATAATAAAAAAATAAAACCATCTCGAGATTAAAATTATTATAATACGAGATTAAACTTGTTAAGTATCGAGAATAAAGTCATTGTGTTTCGAGAAAAAAAAACGTTAAATTTAGAGAAAAAATTGAAATACAATCTTGAGAATAAACTCATTAAATTTCAAGAATAAAGTCGTGTTTCGGGAAAAATTCTTTAAATTTTGAGTATAAACTAATTAAATTTCGAGAATAAAGTCGTGTTTCTAGAAACCGTCTCCATGGTTACTTTGTAAAAACCTTTGTATTGCTGCCACACTACCATTTACGGTCCCCATGTCCGCGTGAAGCTCTCGGGAGACCCTCCTATGCCAGTAGGCTAACTGTTTTTATGAAGTAGCTAACTGGCTATTACTTTAGGGTCGTTATGTAATGTAACGACTGTAACCATCTATACAGCCATTAATGGCAATGCAGAACATACGGTTTTAATTGATCAAAGTCCATATTCCAGAGAGCATTTGGCCCAGCACTGTCTGTTGTTCAAGTGACGGCTCAAACGTCTTTTATCAGTAAAGTTCTGTACGGGCAAATTCAGTGACACTTTTAATGCAATACATTAAAGTTGATAGTATTTCTTTGTTACTAAAATAAAGTCTAAAATATAGCTTGACGAGTGATCCATGTCTGCCATGTCCTCTATCAGTATAGTCTATGCAATGAACACTGATCGAATGCGTTATTCTCTACATTTAAATCGAACTTTTTGTCTTGAAACACAACGACTTTATTCTCAATATTTTATGAGTTTATTCTCAAGATTGTATTTCGACTTTTATTTCTCGAAAATCGAGTTTTCTCGAAACACAATGACTTTATTCTCGATATTTAATTAATTTATTCTTAAAATAGTATTACAACTTTTTTTTTCTAAATTTAACGAGTTTAATCTCGCATTATAATGAATTTATTCTCAAAATGGTATTACGACTTTTTTCTAGAAATTTAACGAGTTTAATCTCGCATTATAATGTCTTTATTCTTGATATTTAATGAATTTATTCTCAAAATGGTTTTACGACTTTTTTCTCGAAATTTAACGAGTTTAATCTCGCAGTATAATGACTTTATTCTCGATATTTAATGAATTTATTCTCAAAATGGTATTACGACTTTATTTCTCGAAATTTAACGAGTTTAATCTCGTATTATAGTGACTTTATACTCGATATTTAATGAATTTATTCTCAAAATGGTATTACGACTATTTTCTCGAAATTTAACGAGTTTAATCTCGCATTATAATGACTTTATTCTCGATATTTAATGAGTTTATTCTCAAAATGGTATTACGACTTTTTTTATCGAAATTTAACGAGTTTAATCTCGCATTATAATGACTTTATTCTCGATATTTAATGAATTTATTCTCAAAACGGTATTACGACTATTTTCTCGAAATTTAACTAGTTTAATCTTGCATTATAATGACTTTATTCTTGATATTTAATGAATTTATTCTCAAAATGGTATTACGACTTTTTTTCTCGAAATTTAACGAGTTTAATCTCGCATTATAATGACTTTAATCTCGAGATGGTTTTATTTTTTTAATATTGCTTGGCCTTAATCCTCTTCCGTAGTTTAACCTTTAGACAAAATCTGAAACATTAAATAAAAAAAAAAAGTTTGTATATGTGGAGGAAAAACACCTCACATTTAATCAAAGGCCCAAAACTGAGCAAAAATATACAATTTGTTACAGTGGCTGATATTTATTTATTATTTATTATTTATCACAAGTTTTGAGCATGTTGATCACTTAGATCATTAAAATGAAAACATAAGAATAAAAGCTAATCAAAATTATAATAGCGTAAAATAATACTAAAATATCCCTAAATGCCATATTCTTTGAAAGGGTCATGTTTTTATTGTTGTCCAGCTTGTTCATTATTGACACTTTTCCTCTGTGGACCTGTGACTCCATGCAGGAGCTGCAGAAGGCTCTGGATAAGCGGAAGGCCATCGTGCTGTCCATTAACCTCTGCAGCGCTGAGTTCGTGCAGTCCGACAGCGAGGAGGCACGAGACCTGCAGCGGCGGCTGAAGGAGATGAATAACCGCTGGGAACGTCTGAGCGGCTCTCTGGACGAGTGGAGGAATGCTCTCCAGCACGCTCTCATGCAGTGCCAGGCAAGAAACACCTCATCTTCAAGCACTTTCAGAAGACATTTAGAACGTCATCTTGAAAAAATTCAGCTGATTTGCAGAAGATATATCTAATATTACCTAATTTGATGATGAAGTTTAAAAACATCACTTTCCATCACGTAGGTTTTTTCTCTCTCACAAAATAACGTTGAAGATTTTTTCAAATGTATATCTGCTTTCAGTTTTAATGACTAAAAGTAGGATCCAAAATGTATCATTTCACTTGTAAACTGCAAACATTTGGAAAAATGTACTCAATTCAATGTCAAAGAACGTTACAAAACGTTTTCTCGCGGCTCTCCGTGCTTGCCACACTACAAAATGCACACTACTTTGTGAAAAGTATGACGTGTTAGAGCAAAACAGGTACCGTCAGTGATATCAGCTTCTAAAAATGAGTAAGAAACAAGTTCTGGATTTCATTTAATCTAAAAACACAGATTATGTAAAATCGTCACGGGGTGGTTTATAAACGCACACAAAGATAAAGATGAAGACAAAGGTAATTGGATCATATTTAAAGGAGTAGTTCACTTTTTGCTGATAATTTACTCACCCCCATGTCCTCCAAGATGTCCATGTCATTCTTTCTTCAGTCGAAAAGAAATTAAGGTTTTTGATGAAAACATTCCAGGATTTTTCTCCATATAATGGACTTCAATGGGAACCAAACGGTTCAAGGTCCAAATTACAGTTTCAGTGCAGCTTCAAAGGGATTTAAACGACACCAGACGATGAATAAAGGTCTTATCAAGCGAAACGATCGCTCATTTCAAAAATAAATACAAAAGTTTAAGTTTTATAAGCACAAATGCTCGCTTTGCTCTGTTCTGTGATGCACGTTCATGACTCTCCTGTTCGACTGTCCTGAACGAATCTTTTTTCGAGTCATTTGGTTCATTCAACAAACGAAAAGACTCAAAAAAGATTTGTTCATTTTGATGAACGAGTTCGAACAGGAGAGTCACGAACGCAGACTATGACGAAACACAAACAGAGTCCGATCAAACGTGATTGTGACAAAAATCATCTGATTTTTGTTTTTCTTACTGCTCAGGACTTCCACGAGATGAGTCACGGTCTCCTTCTGTGGCTGGAGAATATCGATCGCAGAAGGAACGAGATTGTCCCGATTGACCACACTCGGGACAGCGATACACTACAGGAGCATCACAAAACGCTTCTGGTAAATGATTTCTCTTTTCTGTCTATACAGCATATTTGAGCTACTAATTTCTATGCTTGGTTTGATTAAACACGATCGTTCCACAGCAAATCCGTCGAGAGTTGCTGGACACGCAGCTGAAGTTGGCGTCCCTGCAGGACATGTCCCTTCAGCTGCTGGTCCACTCGGAAGGCAGTGACTGTCTGGAGGCCAAAGAGAAGGTGCATGTGATCGGGAACCGACTCAAGCTGTTGCTGAAGGAGGTGACGCGAGACATTCGAGAGCTGCAGAAGACCCTGGACATCACCAGCAGTCAGCAGGTTAGTTACCAACACTGCCACAAGAAACATGGATGCCACCAGTTTGCCGCTTTTTGACCAAAATAATATTAGTGTCTGGAAATGAATGAACTCTTTCCCTGCCATTTACGAAATTTTCTGGCCATGTGTCACTATTATTTTATGTAGGGGGCTGTTATTGCGCAACTTTAAAAAAATCTGGCGGGAAAGCATTGAATTAATCAAATTCAATTTGTTGCACAATGAACTTGGGAACTGAGGCTCAGCAAACATCCAACGGGGGTCACAGAATGACTTAAAATTATTTAAATGAATAATAATATTAGTAGTTAGTAATATATTAAAACAATCTAAGGCCGTGTGTCCACCAAAGCGTTTTTAGCCAGCTGAAGACGCCATGCTGTGGGCGCTTGAGAGCATTCTGGCAGCGCAGCGTTTTTCCCGTTGAGACGTTTCGTTGCTATGATAGAGAATATCCGCACTACAGTTTACTTGTAACTGATTTCGCTGATAATTTGTTTCATACTAAAAATGTATTTTTCATCCACTTTGTTCGGTTAGCTCTGTTGGTTGATATCGTTGTACAGAAAGAATGTTGTGACGGTTGGTCAGTGTGGTTTAGTCCCGCCCCTCCTCCACTGTGATTGGACGGCTGGGTAAGAAGTGACAGTGATGAGCGCTGCGTTTTATCCAAAGTTGAAAATTTTTCAGCTCTTGGCGGCGAGTAAAAAAGGCCGGGCGCTCAGCGCCTCAGCGTGAAAAAAACGCTCAGTGCCTCATTACGCTCATGGCGTTTAAAAAACGTGACGCTCCCATTGAAAACAATTGAAAACATACGCCAGGCGCGTGAAAAAATGTTTTGGTGGACACACGGCCTAACTTCATTTTTAAAAAGTCTTCTTTCCCCTACGTAGAACATACATTATTTCAATTGTGGTTAACTAATTTACCTTATTGATTACACATAACCTATGTTGATTAATAAATAAGTATAGTATATTACTGGGAAATTTATTTGAATATTATATTATATAATATAGGGGCCTTAGTATTGGGTTAGTATTGGCCTTCAAGTAAAAAATTTTGAGAATCAATGCTCTAAATGAATATTTGATGTGGAGCAATTATATTATTATTACCATTGGTACGCTATTATAGGTTTAATTAATAGTGTGGACTTTTTTTGTTTTTATTTGTATTTTTTCCATTTTATTTAAATTTTGGTTAAAGTTTTAGTCATTTTTTTTTTACCATTTTTATGTCTATATATTTTAATTAATATTACTTCCATTTTAGTTTTAGTTATTTTAAAACATCAAGGTAAACTAAATGAAAGTAAGAAGTTGCATTGGCAAGCAGTTTAAATATATATATATATATATATATATATATATATATATATTTATTTTTTTTTTTAAGGACAGTTTACCCCAAAATGAAAATTCTGTCACCATTTACTCTCCCTCAAGTTGTTCCAAACCTGTATAAATTTCTTTCTTGTGCTGAACACAAAAGATAATTTGGGGCACCATTAATTTGCATTCTTCAAAATATCCTTACATTCTTCAAAATATCTTCTTTTGTGTTCAGAAGAAGAAAAAAATTCATACAGGTTTGGAACAACCTGAGGGAAAGTAGATGATGACAGAATTTTCATTTTTTGGTGAATTATCCCTTTAAAAATTATTTCATTTAAAGAAATGGAATAGTTTTTATGGATTTACTTTTCAGTTAACAATAATAACCCTGATGTGCAGCACTAAACTTAATCCAGTTTTCATGTCTAGTTTAAGTGTTCTCACACTCTTTTTCCAACCCTCAACACACACACACACACACTCTCTCCGTAGGACTTGTCATCGTGGTCGTCTGCTGATGAGTTGGATACTTCGGGTTCCCTGAGCCCCGTGTCTGGACGCAGCACTCCCAGTCGCCAGCGATCGGTAACACATCACCCTCATGTTCTGTTGGGCCCTTCAAAGATCAGTGTTTGCTTGTCACGTCGAGGCGGTAGTTTGACACTTGAATGTCCCTGAAACTTGGCCTCCAAAAACACACTTGACACCTTATTAGCATATTGCTCAGAGTTCCTCCAAAACTCAGAACCTTTCCCAGCATGCTCTCCTCTAATGCAAGAGCCGCATCAGGACTGGAGATGTGATTCATCCCTGTTTCCACATCCCATTGATTGATCCAAGTGCGTTTTACACCCTTAAAACAACTAGTCACCCCTAAATTCTGGTTTGGTTGATTCCTCTATTCATTTCCCCACATTCATGTTTACTCTAGATTCCCACACTTTAGTCTTCAAGGAATACTGGTTCTATGAAAAAACAAAATGTCCAGGTCATATTTAACCTCAAAATAAAAAAAAAAGAAAGTGTGAAATTATATTTAGCATGAAGAATATTTTGGACAATTCTTTTTGCGCTGCAACATTATTTTCATGACTTTTCAGCACACGTTCTCTTTAAATTAGTACTGTAATGTGTCCAGATGTTTTATTTTTATTTATAAGAATTCATGTCAAATTCTCATCACAGTAATACAATGATTTTAAATGACATAAATCAACAAAGTATTACTGTAATGTAATCATATTTTAATAAATTCCTATTTATTATAATAATTAATTATAATAATATAATATTGTATATATTATAATATATTAGTTACTTTTATTTTGCAGTACAGCGTACATACTGTATAATGAATATAATATAATAAATGGTTTTGGGCACACTTTAGATCAAGTCAAGTCACATTTATTTATATAGCACTTTTTACAATACAGATTGTATCAAAGCAGCTTCACACTGATAACATGAAAGTAATAAAACACAGATCAATAATATTATATTATTAATATAACTGATGTGTATATATATTCTCAATATTAAATAACTCTAAAATTTTGCCTCAGTAAATGAATGCCTCCTAATTACTACTTATGAATAGTTAGTAAAGTAGTTGTTAAGTTTAGGTATTGGGTAGGATTAAGCGATTTAGAATATGGTCATGCAGAATAATGCATTAACATGTGCTTTATAATAACTAATAAACAGCCAATATCCTAGTAATATGCATGATAAAACTAGTTAAAGGAGTAGTTCACTTTTGAAAAAACTTTTGCCGATAATTTACTCACCCCCATGTCATCCAAGATGTCCATGTCTTTCTTTCTTCAGTCGAAAAGAAATGAAGGTTTTTGATGAAAACATTCCAGGATTTTCTCCATATAATGGACTTCAATGGGAACCAAACGGTTCAAAGTCCAAAAGACTTTCAGTACAAACTGCAAACTGTTCAAAGGGCTTTAAACGATTCCAGACGATGAATAAGGGTCTTATCAAGTGAAATGATCGCTTGATGCTCATTTAATAAATAAATAACAAAGTTTTAGTTTTATAAGCTCAAATGCTCATCTTGCTCTGTTCTGTGACGCACATTTGTGACTCTCCTGTTCGAACTCGTTCATAAAAATGAACAATTTCTTTTTCCGAGTCATTTGGATCATTCAACGAACGAAATGAACGAATTGACTCGGAAAAAGATTCGTTTATTTTGATGACGCACGTCCGTGACTCTCCTGTTCAAACTCGTTCATAAAAATGAATGAATCTTTTTCCGAGTCAATTCGTTCATTTCGTTCGTTGAATGATAAAAATGAATGAATCTTTTTCCGAGTCATTTGGATCATTCAACGAACGAAATGAACGAGTTGACTTGGAAAAAGATTTGTTCATTTTGATGAACTAGTTCGAACAGGAGAGTCACGAACTTGCATCACAGAACAGACCAAAGCGAGCATTTGAGCTTATAAAATTCAAACTTTGTTATTTATTTATTAAATGAGTAATTGTTTCGCTTGATAAGACCCTTATTCATCATCTGGAATCGTTTAAAGCCCTTTGAACAGTTTGCACTGAAAGTGTGTTTTGCACCTTGTACCGTTTGGTTCCCAATGAAGTCCATTATATGGAGAAAAATCTTGGAATTTTTTCATCAAAAACCTTAATTTCTTTTCAACTGAAGAAAGAATCAGTGAATAGATTATCAGCAAAAGTTTTTTCAAAAGTGAACTACTCCTTTAATAGTGAGAATTGGACCCTAATTGGAGAATTGGTGTTACCGAGAATGTGTGGGTAATATACGCTTGCTTATCAAAATAACATCGAAATGCAAAAAAAAAAAATCTAAATATGACCTTTGACACGCAGATTTTGTGAGTCACTCTCAGAAAACAAGCCATTTGTCCTGTGAAGAAATGCATGAAATGAGCTTAAAAAGTCTTTTTAAATGTTAAAGGATCGCTTGTCGGCGAGGTCATTTTTTCTGAGAACAGTCACGAAGAACCAGTTTCTTTGTCACCATAGAGGTGCTGTCACCCCACCCCGTCATTTGATTTTGTTGGTGCTCTTCTTTTTTGGGTTCTTTCATCAGTAGCTTTGTCTTTATTTGCCTGGACTGAAACATTCTTTCTTTCTTTTACCCCCCTGTTCATTGCAAACAGCCACGGGGCAAAAGTAGTCTGTCACAGCCCGGAGCCTGTGTGAGCAGTCCACTTCACAGGTACCTTTCTCCTGGTTTCTAGAACACTCGGAAGATAATGGAACTCATCCCATGACCTGACCGCAGGCCCCTAGCGCTAATGGGTCTGGGTTGACCCCTAAACCTGTCAGAACACCCTTGCAGTGGCCCAGCGATTGAGAAAGGCTCATGCTGATGACTTCCATCATCTTCTGTGATTCTAGACACTGCTCAGGTTAGGGAGCTGAGATAGACACCACGAAGGGAGCTCGTGCACCAGGCACAACACCTTGTTTCGTGTATTTTTCACCTGATGCTTGGCTGCAAATATGGATACGCTAGGCTGCTTTTGCTGCTGAGCCGTTCGTTTTCTCGTCTATTCAGCAAGCGTCTGCAATGAACAATCTTGGCTGCAGTTTCTCTCCTTTTCTCTCTCTGGTGTGTCACATCTGCTCTGTCACCGACTAATCAATCACCTCCCCCCTCCTCCGATCTGCCGTCCGTGCAGTTTGATGACACTAGAGAAACATCACTGTGCCGTACTCGGTGTCAGAACACACAATAACATATTCCAGCGGTTCTCAGCTGCTGGGACAGTTCTGAAAGGAGTGACTAAGCCATGATATGTCAGCATTATCGCTGGTTAGTCACAAACTGATGTATTGTATTCAGGCATAGTCAAATTTCTAGGGCTGTCAAACGATTAATCGCATCCAAAATAAAAAAAAGTTTGTGTTTACATAACATATGTGGGTGCACTGTGTATAATTATTTTGTATGTATATAAATAGACACACATGCTTGTATATATTTAAGAAAAAAATATATTATATGTAATATAGATTATATATGTAAATCTATATACATGAAAATGTTTCTTAAATATATACAAGTATGTGTGTGTATTTATATATATATATATATATATATATATATATATATATATATATATAAAATAATTATACACAGTGCACCCATAAATATATTATGTAAAGACAAACTTTTATTTTGGATGCGATTAATCGCGATTTGACAGCCAAAGATTATTAAAAGAATCGGAAATCTGGTTTCCTATTAAATGCCGGCATTGAAAATGATTAGTCACTCACAAATAGTTGTTTTGTTGTGGGTCATGGTGGAACTACAGATTTTTCTTTTTTATTATAAAAATAATTGTTCATAATTAGGATTTAGATCGTTTCATTAATATAATCCCATTAAATTGTCTTTAAAAATGCATATTCACAATGAAGTTATTCTAGGATGTTTTAAAAAAGAACAATATAGTCCCATTAATATGAGATGTCCCCTTTAAAGATGGATATTCACAATGGAATTGCAACATTTTGTTTTCATTTACATTTTAGTAAAAAATCATTATTAAACAGAGAAAAAAAAGAACGTCATTCGGTGTTGGAACATGAATGAATTTTCATTTTTGGGAGAACTATGTCTTGAATAATTTTTTACAATAAGATAATTGTTATTTTAAGATCATTGCAGGATTATTATATAAAATTGAGAAATATCAAACTCAGTACAATATTCAAAATCATATAAAGAAAAATGAGTTTGCGCAGGGTGATTGATAATGAAATAATATTGTTCTATATTTTGGAGACTTTTCTCAGATTAATGCTACATTGAACTGCAGGATTTAATTATTTAAAGGTATTTGAAGAGGTATTTGCATTTTTAGTCACTTTCTACTAGGGATTAGTGTTTCAAGGAAGTCTAAATGAACATTATTATTTTAGTCATTTGTATCTAAATCAACTAAATCTGCTGGAACCGAGATGACCGTTCACGGATTGCACCTCGTTGGGTTCGAACATGAAACATTGTTTCATCCAGAATATTTCTTTAACAATTAGGCCACAGCACCCACACACAGATTTTAAAGGGATAGTACACCCAAAAATGAAAATTCATAACCCACAAGTTGTTTCAAACCTGTATGAATTTCTTTCTTCTGCTGAACACAAAGTTGGTAACCAGATGATGGACCCCATTGACTTCCATATTAGGGGAAAAAAAATACCATGCAAGTCATTGGGGTCCATCAACTGTTTGGTTCATACAGGTTTGAAACAACTTGAGTGTGAGTAATGATGCCGGAATTTTTATTTTTGGGTGAACTATCCTTAAACTTTGCCTTAAACTGAAAATTGTTGAGCTGTGCTTTTTTCTGTTAGCATTCTGTCTGTTTAACAACGCTTTGACAAAAAGGCATATTTACAGTATAAAGAATAAAATGTCCCTTTTGCTTTTAAATGCTACTGAAGATTTCAAACTAACTCTATCTGTGTCAAGCTTCTAATGTGTTTCCAAATATCATATAACAGACAGAGGCAAAAATGCATGGAGAAATGATTCCATCCAATAAATATGAAAGCCTATTTAGAGATGTGAATCTACACAAAAACCCATTTAGTTTTAGAAATAGCCACACAACAAATGTCATTTGTCTTATTTACCTAGTTTTGCATCTGAGCGTTTCCACCTCTTTGTGCCGTCTTGTGTTTAGCAGGTCTCGCAACGCCGCTGGATCCGGTTCCTCCCATTCTGAGGAGGAAGAACCACCGTCCTGGTGCAAAAGCTTCCTGAAGCGTGTCCTGTGGGCCGCTCTACCCCTGCAGATCATCCTGCTGCTGCTGGTGGTCGTGGCCTGTCTCGTGCCTACGTCTGAGGAAGACTACAGCTGTGCCCAACTCAACAACTTCGCCCGCTCCTTCCACCCCATGCTCAGCTACACCAACGGGCCTCCGCCCATATGAGCTCCACTTGGGTTTCATCCCGAATTGGAAAATGACATAATTAAGAGTTTGGCAGCCAAAGTGAATTATTATCGTGTCCTTGTACAGCTGCTAATTTTACAGTACGTCACCGAGTCTCGTGTAGATGTTTGAACAAAGCCTATTGCACTGAAAACTGCTGTCAGGTGTTGTTAGTGCTACTGATGTTCTTCCATATTTGACCTGAGGGAGGAAAATAGGGCGTGGGATATTAACTCAACACTGAAGAGTTAATCAGGTCTAAAGGCCTTTTTTAATCATGGGAAGATCGAGTTTATTGGAAAAAAAACTGAAATGTGTAGAATTGCTTGTATCAACTGAATAACTTGTAAAAAAAGAAAAAAAAAGAGAGAAGATAAATTTATTAACTCTATATTGCAATTATTTTTTATATGTATTTTTGGCATGTGGTCATCCTTTGGTTTTAAAACGATCATTGATTTCATTGAATTTGTTGTTGATTTTGTTGATCTTAATTTAACCTGCTCTAATATTCAAGTTAACTGTCATGAATATGCTTTACTATATGTAAACCACTGATATCAAAGAAAAAGATATTTATGTATGTACAGTTTGCTAAGGCCTGAGAAACCTTCGCAATGAAAACACACACATGATATACACATATACTGCTGATTAGTATTTTTCATTAAAATAAAAGATTAAATGACAGTAATCTAATTGTGAATCATAATTATTTTCTTACCAAAAGAAATTTCTGCTTAAACATATAACTGATTTGTACATAATATTCACAGGGTTGTATTAAACACTGCCATCAATTGTCAGCATGCTTCCATTAGGTGGTAGGAGTCATATTGTTCACAACAAACATGGTAAAACAATTAATTTTACCCTTTTCTCAAAATACACAGCTACTTTTGAATGTTTATATATATATATATATATATATATATATATATATATATATATATATACACTGAACTGCCTTAATTCTACATGGTATTGATTCAACAAGGTGCTGAAAGCATTCTTTAGAAATGTTGGCCCATATTGATAGGATAGCATCTTGCAGTTGATGGAGATTTGTGGGATGTACATCCAGGGCACGGAGCTCCTGTTCCACCACATCCCAAAGATGCTCTATTGGGTTGAGATCTGGTGACTGTGGGGGCCATTTTAGTACAGTGAACTCATTGTCATGTTCAAGAAACCAATTTGAAATGACTTTAGCTTTGTGACATGATGCATTATCCTGCTGGAAGTAGCCATCAGAGGATGAGTACATGGTGGCCATAAAGAGATGGACATGGTCAGAAACAATGCTCAGGTAGGTCGTGGCATTTAAACGATGCCCAATTGGCACTAAGAGGCCTAAAGTGTGCCAAGAAAACATCCCCGACACCATTACACCACCACCACCAGCCTGCACAGTGGTAACAAGGCATGATGGATCCATGTTCTCATTCTGGTTACGCCAAATTCTGACTCCACCATCTGAATGTCTCAACAGAATTCAAGACTCATCAGACCAGGCAACATTTTTCCAGTCTTCGACTGTCCAATTTTGGTGAGCTCTTGCAAATTGTAGCCTCTTTTTCCTATTTGTAGTGGAGATGAGTGGTACACGGTGGGGTCTTCTGCTGTTGTAGCCCATCCGCCTCAAGGTTGTGCATGTTGTGGCTTCACAAATGCTTTGCTGCATACCTCGGTTGTAACGAGTGGTTATTTTGGTCAAAGTTGCTCTTCTATCAGCTTGAATCAGTCGGCCCATTCTCCTCTGACCTCTAGAATCAACAAGGCATTTTCGCCCACAGGACTGCCGCATACTGGACATTTTTCCCTTTTCACTCCATTCTTTGTAAACCCTAGAAATGGTTCTGCGTGAAAATTCCAGTAACTGAGCAGATTGTGAAATACTCAGACCGGCCCGTCTGGCACCAACAACCATGCCACGCTCAAAATGTCTTAAATCACCTTTCTTTCCCATTCTGACATTCAGTTTGGAGTTCAGGAGATTGTCTTGACCAGGACCACACCCCTAAATGCATTGAAGCAACTGCCATGTGATTGGTTGATTAGATAATTGAACAGGTTTTCCTAATTATCCTTTAGGTGAGTGAGTGTGAAATATTTATTAACCTTCTGAAACAACCATCTTAGACCAGCTGGTTTGGTGCTGTTCATAATATCTTGTTAAAGCTGTTTAACCAAGGAAATTGTGCAGGTTAGGCTTGTTAAGAAGCGTGTTCGAGATTCCAGAACATCAGAATCCAATTCATATCATATGCAGGTTGTGTAGCTACAGTAGGATGAACATTAATCTATAACTGCAGGTTATTATCCGCATCCGCTGGTCTCTCCGATGATGTGCTAGAGGGAGCTGGAAGAGCCTGGGGTTTGAACTCATGAGAATGCGCAACATCTATGGAGGAAACTGGACTTTCCCAGATGCGAGGCGTGTGATGCTGGTGTAGATGAGCAGTACAGTGACGTGATTGGATCAGAACCTCCAGTCTTCTGAGAACTTCGTAGTTTGGCACGCAGCCTGTGCAGTCAACACCCAACATGTGAGACACAACTGTGTAGAAGTCCAGCAACTGCAATGAACAAGCATACCTGTTACTTTTAAAAATGTTAATGCATTCCCATGTTCAGATACACATATTATACAGTGTGTGTATTTATGTATATAAACTCAGCAAAAAAGAAACGTCCCCTTTTTCAGGATACTGTATTTTAAATATAACTTTGTCAAATCCAAAGAAGCGTTACAGGTCTTTATTGGAAATATTGTTTTTCATGCTTGAACCGTAAAACATTATTGCACATGCACCTGTGGGACAGTCCTAAGACATAACACTATTAGACAATTAAACTCACAGTTTCAATAATTTAGCACACTTTCTAGTGACTGGAAAACATCAGGAGAAAGATGCCCTACACATTAATACATTTGTCTGGGGGGGAAAGCAGCTGAAAATGAGAGAATGTTTATTTATTTTTTGCAGAGTTACAGTATATTACCATTCAAAACTTTGGGTTAGGATATGTGCAGATATGTGGTCACTCTCAGTACCTGTTTCTCACTGTGAGAAAGATCTGCTATGGCACTAGACTGCGTGTCCAGGAGTCGTTGGGCTTGTTGGATCTCATCTCTGGCTCTGAATTCCTGGTTTTGCAGCTCTGACTTGATGGTGGTCAGCTTCTTCTCAGTCTTTACCTTGCTCTTCTCAAGCTTTCCCAGATTCTTACCCTGCTCCTCTATGGTTTGGTTTTGTTCCATCACTTTGATCTTGTTGCACCAAAGACAGCAGAAACTGAGCATTTATAAGCATTGCTACTCTACACAATTCACCCAATCTATTTTCTAAATGCATGTTATTGATCTCATTGTGAACAATACGTGTTTCATCTTTTAACCTGATAAACCTAAATCAAAATGTCATAATTTAATCTTCAAATGAAAGATATACTGTGCTTCTTTTTCAATAATCCAATTCTCTTAATTACATGTCACAATATAAATATAAAGATCCGTTGCTACTTCTATTCTTTTGTGGTTTTATAGACCGTATGTAGCCCCGCCCCTTTTCAGCGTTGCGCTCGTTTTTTGTCTTTTGACTTCCGGTCTGTATTTTTCACAGCGATCTTGCACAGGAATGAACAACTGCTCGTAAAAAAAAATTCCCGGTTGACATTTGTTAAGACATCTGCTTTACAATGCCTATGATAAACATACAATGCTCATGATAACTTTTGTTAACTCTACAATAAGTAAATCCACTTCACCAGCTAATTACTCCTCGACAGCGATGCCATAGAATTATACAGAGACCGCAAAACCGGAAGTTCAAAGACAATATTCTCAAGATGACGGCGCCCACATTTCGCTGGTGCATTGGCTATACATAAAGGATTGATACATTTATGGATTTGGCAGATGCTTTAATTCAAAGCAACAAATTCAGAAACTAAAACACTGATCTGAACCTACTGTAAATTGCTATAGTGAAACATGACCATTTCTAATCTCTAAACAAACTTACAGTCAAATCAAGAACCCTATACAGAGTTGGTCATTTGATGCCCTCAAAGCATTCTTAAGATAAACAGTTACAGATTCACTTTTGTGTGATTAAAAATGGTCTTATTTTTATGCTGAAATGACTCTGTTTGGTGAGGGTCTGTGGGCCAGGGCTCTTCCCTGTACCTTGAGCTCATTGGTGTGGGACAGCTGGGCTTTCAGCTCAGTGTTGGAGAAGCGTAAGGTGCTCAGCTCCGCCTGCAGTCGATTCACTCGCTTCTGGAGCTTCTTACAGGCCAGAGCAGCGTCATCTTTCTCCACCGCCAGAGCTGAGCGGCTCCTCTTCTCCTCCTCCAGCTGGACCACCTTCCTCCTCAGCAGCTCCAGGTGAAGCTCTTTACTTTCTGAACGCTCCTTCTGTTCTTTAAACTGTAGTCATGGATGGAAATGATAGCCAATTATAATAATAAAAAAAAATCTAATAATATTAAGAATGCTGCATGGTTTATATTTAAAAATGATCAAGATTTATATTTAAGTTGTTGGCCTACATTTCTGTCATGACAACTTTTAGAGTGTTTGGCATGAAAATGGATATGTCATTGTTGATATATTTGGTTTTAGAATAAATCTGTTATGCTGCTGATGCTGCATACATGAATTGGCCGTTGCAGATCTATACAGCTGTACTGCAAATGCTAAGCAACTATTTGAAGGTTGAGCAACGAGCTCATTGGCTACTGATAAAGCAGGAACCAATCAGCTGTGCTCTCTATAGAGAATGATGTGATTACAAGCAAATTGAGTTAAAGACCTATCAGCCTGTGCCATATAGTTTCACAGGACTTTGTATTTTTATTTTACATTTAAACTTAAAAGTTATATATATATATATATATATATATATATAAATAATTCAAAAAACGTAAAAGTTATATATATATATATATATATATATATATATATATATAAAAATAATTCATTATAATATAAATTTGAAGAATTTTCCTTTTGACTGAATGTTTAATTATATTTCAAATTAAATTCTAATGGTTAAAAAAAATCAATTGCTTTTTTTTGTTTTGATTAAACCATAAATATTACAAAACTAGACATTTGGAAATTTCACAAATTTGTATTATTTTTATTTTACTTTTTAATGTTTTTTATGTTTGTTATGGTACATTTTAAATCAGTAAAATCTGACACAATTGGACAGTAATTTGTAACGTTTTATTTTACATTCAGAACCCCCAAATTTATGCAAATTTAATTGAACTAAATGATTGTTAGGCTTTTGACATGTCTGCACCTTTCTCTGAAGGCTGTAGATTTGTGTCCTGCTCTCCAGTAACGCCGTCCCTTCCTGCCTGGTCAGCTGTTGTGCTCGTGTAAGAATGGCCTCAAGTCTCATATCAAATCCCAGATCGGCAGCAACATGATCCACTTTTAACTTCTCTGAGAGCTGCTCCACAAACCGCAAGTACTACAGAGGAAGAAGACCAGTGACATTACTGAGAGGTCATTTTAGGACATTTATGATGCATTCTGATCCAATGCATCAGGATTTTTCTGATCCAAATCCTGATCTGATTCCAACTGATATCCATCTTAGTTTTAACGTGACAGCGGGCACTGCCATTTGTAACTTAATTGTGCAAGGCTTCCGGTGTCATTTGCTTAAAGTT